TAGTTCGAGAGCCAAACAAGACAGAGAATCGGGCCAACAAGCGCGCACAATGCTTTTGTTTATCTTTTTGCTGTGTGGTTTTTGGCATTAAGTATCATAAATAATCTGCGGGAAACAAAACACAGATGCTCACATGTTCAAGAAACAGTGTTTTTTTTTCGCTAAAATTGGTGACTCACTCAAAACTGTTAGGTTCTCCCATGCTAACTACATACATATTCTCGGGATCCGGGGCTATACTGTAGCAATTGTCCAGCCTCACTTTGGTGTGGCAATGTCCCCATTACAAATCGGCACCACCGACTATAGGAACTCTGGAGGTGAATCTGACTCGACCCCCACGGAAGGTTAGCTCGGAAGGTTTGGTGGACGTCTGACGGAGGGTAGGCGATTTGAGGACTGAGGGCCAATTGCCCGAACGCAACAAGAGAACCAACATGAAACAACTATAGTGGATGTTGAAATAGTGACATATGATCATAATTGATCATATGTTTTTTTCATATTTTGATTGGTACAATAGTCTATCATCCAACTACAAAGGTTCTTTTGCAGTGAAGGTTCTCCTATTGTTTGGGCATAAATGAGGTTGACATCTGAAGCTCCCAAAGTGGACCATCCAACGAGAGCCGGCTCGGCTCCGGCCTCGGCTCATAGCATCCCAGGGAATCTTCGCCGACTTGCTCCTTGGGAAGATCTTAGTTTTGATGTGTCAATTTTGAAGTAAACAAAAATTGTCAGCTTCAAAAGTCATGCGGCCATTTTGAAAAGTGAGATTTATTGTGTTCACCATGTCTCCGTACAGTTAGTTATGACATTGATTGATATTGTATAATATTGTATACAAACGTATACACAATTAATCCCTAAGAAGGCGGGGATGACTAGCTGCATAAATGGTGATATTTCTTTCACAGGCTTTCACAGGGGACATAAGGTCCCGTTGGGTTTTCCAAGTTCTGTGGCTGGCCCAAGCTGTCACCTCTAGTTGAGGAGATTCCCGACGGCTTGTAAGTTGAACGACGATGGGCTTGACTGTGACCCGTTAAACGGCAAAGACGGTCAGGAAGCACCACTGCGAACCCTGACTCTGACAGTGGAGTAAAGGTCTCAGCGGAAAAGAAGATGCTTACATGCGGCCTGCGTTCAACGGCTCGTGTTTATATTGCAATCTCTGAGAAATTGGTGGCAAACCAAGTAACAACTCACAGTGTCTTGCAGGTGTATTGAAATGTATTGGACCAACATGGTGAAATTAGGCCAGTTCTATTGTTGGGTTTCTGACATTGTTTCACCATGACACAACGCCAGTTGTGCAAGTTGGTCATGTCCGAAACAGGGGGCTTGGCCAACAATCCCCAACAATGGTCTTCTTGTGTTTGGACAAACCGATTTGCAGATGACGGAAGTCGCTTCACGAAGTTCACCAACTTGGATTCCAGGAGTTCCAGCCAGTCTACATCCAAAAGCACTTTCCTCCCATTCAATGTGATGGCCTAGTAACATCTAGTAACTAGTACGGCCACGCTGTGACATTGCTTTTTTTTTTGGTTGGCATCTGCATGTTTCGTCTGCCTAGAATCATCTCGATCACGTTAAAACACTTGTAGCCGTCCTGCAGTGGATAAAAACAACTAAAAACATATCCAATGATTTTCCAGACTTGAGGCTGGTCATATTTTTTCTCTCTACTCCAGGATGAGTATATAGTAATATAACGGTAAGTAGAGTATATTATAGTATATTATACTAATATGATTATTATCAACATGCTACAATATATATTATGGGCTGTTTTGATATTATTCAGATACACGTATATACCAATATACTTACCATCAATACATTAATTCCCAGAATGGGATGAAAGAACATTTTACCAGAAGGCCAGCCTTAATGATAGTAAAACCAACAATTTCCCACCAACCACCCTAGTGAATATCCAGCATTTTGCAGCTGATCTTTCCACGATTTCTGGCTGTCTGGCGCAAGCTGGCAAGTCACGCCGATGTGCGCGGCCGTTGTAGCACGTGATGGTTTTTACATCGGAGGCAGCGGCGGAGGGCCGCACGGCTCCCCATATTTTACATGCTGGGATTGCTATAGGCTGTAGATGCAATATGAACATGTAGAATTATTTACAATTGATAGTTTGATACATAATATGATATACTTAATTGTTTCATCATAAGTGGATTTGAATAATATATATATGTATATATATCTACACATATTTATATAATATCCTGTAGTTGTCCTGCAGTTTGTGCAAGGGATATCGCCCAGACGGGGATAATCCCAGCGGATATTGACAAACGTGAGAATCTGATGATCTGATGATGATATGATCTGATGAAACGCTTCTTATGGTGATCCATATGATCCATCTTATGAAATCTTATGTTTTTTTTTTCCAAGAAACATTTCTTGATGTCTGCCTTTGCCTCGCCTAACCTGTTGATGTCTGCGATTGAATGTGTGGCGCCAATGTTCACCTCAACCCACCGGTTGCAGTTGCGCTGCAGCTGACCCTGGCCAACTGGTTTATGGAAACCCTACCTTTGGTGGGATATTTAGTGGTGGGATATTTAGCTCCATCTGTGTCTAAATCCCCAATGTTAGTTTTGAATTGGGTAACTCAAGAACCTATGGTTGATCATGATTTTTCCCCCTTCAAAATAGCCATTTGGATGGATATCCTCCAATTTCACACCCATTCATCAGAGTTGAAGCTTGTCTGAGAGTTTCCACCATCAACTCCAGCGTTAGGTGCGCGGTGCACCAGGTGCAAGAGACGGACGGGTATGGTGTTTTGGATGATTTTCATGGCAGGAAACAAAATGTTCCTCCATGTTCAGTGGGAAAATATGGGAAACTCAGCCAAAAAACCAGGGGCACAGATAGGTTTTTTTGTGTTCCCAGGTTACATTAGCAGAGCGCAAAACATCTCCATCGTGTGGTACACTGAAGAACAGATGCTATCATAGATGCATAATCTTATCGCATATTTTTTTGTTTACCGTATTTAGATTCAATTTTACCCTTGAATTTTCCTTGGTCAACTTTCGAAAATGGTATGTACTGCATGGACCTTTCTTAGGATCTCCAAATGTTCCTTTCTTGGGCGGGCGGCCACTTCTTTATCACTAAAAACAGCATTGACCTTAAGCTGTTTCCACAAGTTTTCCCAGGCGGAAGCATGCAGGCCCGGGACGATGATTTTGGGAACGTCTGAGAGTTCAGGGGTGTTGTTTTTCGAAAATATCAAGCCATTTGTAACATCAGGTGTCCCTGTGCCTCAAATAGCGTCGCTGGTCTTCTCAAGTGCTTGGACCTTCAGGCAGAAATCAGCCAGGGTTCAATCATTTTCCTGGTTTGTGGTTTCAACAAAACGTCAAGTTCCCGTTCTATCCGGCATTTTGATGGCTCTGGATCAACAAAAACCTACAAAATCCTACAAATGTGTAGGCTTTAGGTGATGAACATCCAACATCATCCAGCTACTTTGATGTTCATTGGGGGTACCGGGTCTCGACCCATCCCCAGACGATGGTCGGAGTTGACGATGACCTGATCATGAGTTGTTTGAATAGGGGGGAATCATCCCAACATATCACCTGTGAAAAGGTTTGTGAAACACTAATCATCAGTTTTTACAATATATGCAACTACAATAGTATAGGCAATTATCTGGAATTACAGGCAATCAATGGCAATCATATGTAATATTATGTAATCATATGTCAATATGTAATTAAATTGAATATTATTGTTAAAAATTGCCCAGATCTCCTCCACAACCTGTTCCAGGCTGAGTACCTCCAACGGCACCAGGTGATTTCCTGGATGCAGGACGCTGGATGATGCACGTTGGTTATGTGGTGCCCTTTTTTTTTGAAGGGGCCGAGTCGGCTACCAAAAGGATCCCCAAATAGCAATTTCATATAGTTTCATGATGTTTCATGATGTTTAATGCACTTTATCTTGGCAAAACGAAACAGCAACAACTTTCTGGATAGCCGTGATGCTTCCCATGGCGTTTCGACATCGTGGGATTTCCTGGATCAGCTTCCCCCCCAACGTTCTACCTTCGGGGCGAAGGAGGTGCTTGAAGATCTAGTTAAAGAACAGCCAGGCCGGACAGTAGAATTCTGGTGCGTGTGTTGGTTTCTCATGAACTTTGTGAGAAAATATCCTTCCAAAATTGCTGAATCATTCTTGGAGCCCCCTATGGTCCCCTTTATATTTTTCCATTCGTGGAAGCATCCATGGTAGACCAATTTATCGCAGCGCGTTCAAGCTGGGCAGAGCAATCCCTACCATATCCATGGGTGGGGTTATGCACAGTAGAGGTGCAGGACTTATGTCTTTCATTTTCCATCATCCATCCTTATTTGGGATGATGCTTTAAGCAGCTGATTCTTGTCTGTGAAGGAAAGGCTCAAACCAATGACAAGTAAACAATACTCTATGTCAATAACTTTAGGCAATCCTTGTTGTGGTTGGCCTTTGTTCCCATCATCTATCCATAAACACATCATTGTATGTTTTGAAATGTTTTGAAACACATGTTGAGAGCACCAACCACTTGGGGCCGAAAGAAATGGTACCAAGATATCCAGAAAATGAACGAACATGAGTCGTTTTTGGTATCTAATTGTATTTCAATATCCAAACTCGCAAACATGTAGGTTACAATTTCTTCATTCCATTTTTTGTCAAATGGATGGTCATAACTTCTACAGACCCAGGTGGTCCATATCTCTAGCCACGCAGATTCTCCCTGGAGCTACGTTGCACAGAAAGCACAGCAGCCTGGGGACCTGGAGTGCTAATCCATCGGATATGGATATAATGTACATCTGCGGATTAATACATTTATTGATGATTATGGTTTAGTATATGTTGATGTGGATCATTTGTGATATATTGTCTATATACATACATCACTATGTAATACTATGTACTGTATGTATAATTAATGATAACCCGCCCTCAACATGAGCCCATTTCAGGTTGTTGATTTGGAATTCATCCAGATCCATTTCCCCATTCAACTCGCCCGTCCAGCACTGGAAACCGGGCATCTGAGGCAAGAGGAAGAGGTGCCAGACGGTGTCAGCGGGGGTTCAGCAGCCGGTGTCGGTCAAATTTTGGGGTCATGTAGTAACCCCAGAGCATTATATAATAATAATGTAATATAATAATATATAATCCTCTCCATTGGATGGGCTTTATAAAGTGCTCATGATGTAGGTGGATTACGACATCCTGAAATGCCAAACCTTTATTTCCCACCAAGAGACATGATTGGGTTGGGGTGGAATTGCTTTGAACATTCCATTGGTCTTGAAAAACCTAGGCTCATGAGTGGTTTGCCGCGAGGTACTTCCGTTGATTGTTGGTTCGTTACGTTGGTCACGTGTTTCACATTCACATTGACTATGCGCCATTGTCAGCTTATTGATTTCTAATGCTAGTTGATTGACAGCGCCCACAGATCAAGGAGCCGTTCAAACAAGGCTGTTGGCGAGTGATGATAAGCTGATGAGCTCGTTTTTGCTTCTCAGCTGTGTCCATACTCAGCAGCATCAGCAGCAGCATGGCGAGCAATTCCACATGCATGGTCGTTTTTCGCCATCAATTTGTGCATCTTTTGGGAGAAATAGAATCCCTGTCCTAGTCTTGTGGACACTGGCATCCGACCAAGCACCTGCGAGCCAACCCTTCCATTCGGCTAGCCTTGAGAAGTTATCATTTTGGAGGTGGCAACTAGGCCTTGCATTGGACACTGAAATGATCATGAAATGACCATATGTTTGTCTCTCCCTTTTTCAACACTGTCAAGGGCCGTCCATCAAGTCCATTGACCATAGATAAAACATGACAAAACATGACAAAACTTATTCTGTATAACTTCGGTTTTACCCCCATGTCTATACCATACTATCCAGGTGTGGTATTGGACATAGATAATGTGGGTAAACATACCCTACACATCCAGAAATTGCAGGGGTTACGTGCGGGGCATTTCGGCCCACGGTTTCCTGCTAAGACTCCTAATGTTTCATAATTAAACCAGGTTAAAACATGTTGAACCCCTGTTTTTGACTTAGCTTCGCTGATCGATCATGCCATGCGCCCTGTAATTGCGGCCGCGCCGGGCGCGCCTCACGGCGCTCCGCCGCTGGGCAGCGCTGTGCAGTCGGCTCCGATTGCGGAAAGGTGAGATGTCGACGGGGAAACTGTTTGATGGTGCAAATGTATGAGGACATTGAGGACATGCCAATAGTTTGGTATTTTAATGTAATATAATGTAATTATGTTTTAATGGATATTTGAATGTATATCTCAATGGATGTTATGGCTAGACTATGTGGGACTAGTGGAAGTTGCCGAAGAAACAGGTTTGTTGCTTTTCTGGCAAGGATCCAAGAGGATCCAATGGTTTCAGGTGCGTGCCTCCGACATCGTCCGTGTGTTGGGCCCTGGCAGGTGGGACTATCCAACGGGCGGGATTACTAGGGATTGTCTCATCGGCTCGGGCAGTATTGGCTCCAACTGTTGTTGTCCCTTTATAGCGTAAAAATGCGGACAATACATTTAAATACTGCTGGTGCTTAGTAGGGAATGGGGGAAATTGGGGGAATGGGATTAGTATTATATGTTATTATGGATCATTCCCCATTCGCTACTAAGCACCATTAAGGTCGCTTGATGCTTGGGAAACACCATCGAACTCACAGTCAAGACTCTCGCTGAGCTTCGAAGCTCCGAGTTGAACTGGGAATCTTGAGAACACGAAAAATCCGCACAGATGATGGTTTGGATTGGAGAAATCATCCTGTAGAAAGTGGCTGAACCATATTATATATACGTATATATGTATATATGATATACACACACGTCAATATACGTATATATGTATGTATACTGTATTATATGTATATACATATATATATGATTAATGGATGTAAATATGTTTGTATATTATGTGTATATATATATATAACTATGCGTATAATGTGCCAATCCCCAGCCCTCCTCCAGCTGCTTCCATCTCAGGCGCCATTGGCTGGAGGCTGGCATAGCTGAGCGGGGCAACAGGTTCCCCATGATGATAGTTATCCTTAAATCATGGTTGACAAACTTACAACAACAATGGGTTAACCAATCATGATATCCCCAATCATGGACCCAATCATAGGGTTGACCCTATAGTTAAGGACAGCCAAGGTAGTTGCAAGCCCAATAATTTTTGGGATATATATATATATATATAGTGGATAGTGGGTAACTGGGTCATAACGTCATAACTCATAGGGGCCCATCATGGGCGGTAAACCGAACCACCTGCAGAGGGTGGTAAGATGTGGCGTCAATGGGTTTGCAACGCCTCATGACTGAGATAGGAACGGATCCAAATGGATATGAATCTCTATCATTGTCTCCTCATAACTTCCAAACCATCACAAGCAAAAACCAATCCATGGTTTCACTTGGTTATACCAGATTTGCGGACCTGATGGATCATTCCAGCGAAACTACTTCGTTGGGCTGTTGTTTTTCTGCCATTGTCTCTGGAGGCGACGGAGTAACGGTAGCAAGGCGGACGGGGGTGAAAGCCGGGGCATTCTTTGTTACGCGTGTTTGCCTGGTTGGGTGAGACTAGCATATACTATGTTTTCGGGAGAGAACATGCTTGGAGTTTGCCATGAGTTTGCCTTTGAACATCTTCGAACTTGGTCATCCTGTCATGCATTTTCTCCCCAAAGACCACGATGTTGAGCCTGTTGATTGGCCTTGGCCTTGGCATATCCTCTTTTGGATGCTTTGTTTCGGGTGGTCCTTTCCCTCATTCCTCCCCACACATTTCTTAGTTTCTTGGTTGTTCATCGAGAAAACCTATAATGTTTATCAGTTTATCATTGTCTATCCATTTCTATCCATTTCTTGGATCGCTTCAAACATCTTCAAACCCAGGAAACTCCTGATGTTTCCTGCATTTTGGGATCGCTTCCATCACCTCAAAATGTTTCAGCGCGTTCAGTAATATACGCAGTCAGGTCCCACGGCGAGCGGGCATGAAATTCAAGGTGGCGAAACGGGGTTTCTAAATTGGATGGCTGGACGTGGCTGGATGGTCCCCTGAAATTATTTGGGATCGACATATCAAGTCCCTCTCCTTGAATATGTTATGCTCAAGCACAGTGAAATGATCATAGATTGATTCTATATACATGATGAACATGCTCCGAAGATCACTATTGAACGGACGACACAAAACAAAGCTCCGAAAGTGTCTCAGCTGGACCCTGCGAGGTGAATAAGCAGTATCGCGGTGCTCGATCTTATGGCACCATCAGTCAAGAGGAGCGGCACGACACCATCAGTCAGGGGTGGATCCTTACGGTTGGTCATTGGTTATTGGATGTTATTGGTTAGGAAGTGCTTAATAATTAATAACCAATAATAACCATACTTATAATCCACTTATAGATGGGATAGGATGTACCTACTTATGATTGTTTTCTCGGCACTGGATGGTCTCTTTCTGCATCGCTGGGACGAGGGACGAGCGGGTTCGCTGGCAAGGCCTCAAAATGCACAGAGAGGATGGTGCCACAAAGAGAGGGAAAGCATTGGTTCAAAATCTTGCAGAAAGACAATTTGTATATGGACCTCTGCGAAGTCTTTAACAGAAATTCAAGGTGTGTACGCTGCTGAGGCAGGATCCTTTTCAATATTCCTAGGACCTAGGAACACAGATTGTTATTTTTTCACAGTAATTCTCCAATATTCAAAGTGTGATTTAGGTAGCGGTCAACAAAGGTCAACATATAAGACCACCATAGACCACCGTGTCGGTTCAGTTTGCTTTATTGAACCAAGACGAAACATCAAACTGTCTCACATTCCAAGATGAGTAAATGCCCGTCAATTTTATAAATATTACCCAAACTACAAGTGACTACATTTATTAGGAGCAGAGTACATACATCCATGTCCTTCCGCGGAGTTTCTCAGCCATGCAGAGGAGTTGGAAGAAGCTGCTCGGATCCGAAACGAATACAACCAGGACCTATCCTCTGTCAAGAAGGCTGATGTGGAGACATGTGGAAACTGGGAAGTATTTGTTGGTTCATCCGTCAGTAAATGGACGCTGAAGCCATCAAAGTGGGTTATATCGCGATGACCTGGTGAATCGCTGGTCACAGGCGGATGCTAGGCCCAAAGCACGAAGGAGGCCATATGGGTTCCAAGACATGTCTTGGTTCAACTTGGAATTTGGCAAGATCAAAACCATTTGGTGAACATGATATGTTTGAGCTGAAAGATTCTTTGGCTTTGAAAACTATGGTTTTGTGAACGTGATATGTTGGATTCCTGTTGGATGTTTTTGTAACGCGAATCTTTGAACCCAGCATCTGGGATGAGGAATTTCCCAGTGATCATCGAGTCACCGATCTTCTCTGGCAAACATCAGTCGTCGTATTTCGGTTTCGGAACTCAGAGGTTCACACAGCAATCTGCAACCTGATCATCTAGGCCCTAGGCATATCTAGGTGCAAAATGGTGCAAACAGTATCAGATATAGTGGCTGTGAAGGTTTGGTCGAGGTCTCCAGTGAGTCACTGAACATGTTTGAACCACGCTGAGATCACCAGAAAAGATACCCAGGAGTTTTACCCACTGCTGTTTGGATTTATGAGTTGCACTCTAAAACCCAAATCTAAAGGCCATTTCCAAGCTGGCATCATGGAAATCTTGGTAGGGACAGGGCGGATAGATGCGGATAGGGTGTTTTCACATACTTTTTCTATATATTTTCCCGGTTCCACCGTTTTGCTCCACGTTGAACCATAGACATCGTAGACTTTACAGGCTGCTGTTGAAGCGCTTGCGCCCCAGCTTCCAAGCGCCCCAAGAGGCCGGGCATGTGATGTTAACTAAGTGACCTAAATTTAAATCATATTAGATCCATATGAACTGGGTGACATATGGTGTTAACTGGATTTTTGGTTTTTGTAGGGATTAGATGGACAAACACCGATCAAATATCCGGCTAAAAAGTTCACACTTCCAGTGCAAAATTGATCTGATAGATGGCAACGTGTTGCAACCCATGAGTCCAATCCAAAAAGCATCAATATATTCTGGTCATGAGGTTTCTGAAGATATACGGATATGTACACTTTGTCCGACAACGAGAACAATCCAATTGTTGGTTGCTTCCTGCGCAAATTGACCACCAAATAGTATGACTTGGTGTCTCCGATGTCTCCACGTTTTTGAAAACTGGTTGAAGGGACAATTTGCAGAAAACATCAGTACAGTAAATGAATGGGTTTCCCACTCTTCCAAACCCAGCTTGCACTGGGCCCGTCAGGATGAGGGTGAAGATGGTGAAACAGAAGAGGAGGCATCGGGGAGTTGATGATTCTTCCACCTTGTAGACGATGTATTGCCACGTGAACAACCCATTCTTCACGGGAGTTCATGAATATTCATCATGTTATATCATGTTCTATGTCAGATTTTTATAGATTTTTGAGTTGTCCCTGAATTCTTAGACCCATCAACTGCCCCTGGCCATGTATCCTCAGGACGAGTCAAGTTCTGGTTCCAATGAGGACGCAGATGCCGATGGCGCAGATGGGCTTCTGGAGACAAAGGCAGGTGGGAGGTGAAAGTTCATATGTAAAAACAACATGACCAAGGGGAACAATATGATGGAATGATATGGAATGTAGAGCCAACATCAGAGTAACATCAACAGCAACTAGTTCACACACTTCCATTCCCATTTTTCTACAAGTTACGCGACTTGCTGTGAGATTCGATCTGCCATCTGCCAGCCATTTCTGCTAAGCTTGTAGCTTTTCGTGCCAACGCAGCTTGCGGGACATCGCCTCTCTGCCATGTCTCTGCTTTCCATGTCTCTCCTGGCCCTTGCGGCCCTGGCCGCGGCAGATCGATTGGTGGTGCGCTTGCAGCGCGTGCCCGGGAATGGCACGCATTTCTATGTGGGAAGGTGAGGGCCTCTCCATGAAATGGTAACATAGGTCGAATATGTCCAGAATATGTCAGAATAGGTTGAAGAGACAGCTGATAACCCTTCGATCCTTAGAGATTTATATTGAGCACGGCAGCACGTAGATTGTTTTCCTGGTAAAGATATGTAAAGATTAGGATTTTGCCTTTCCAGGTTAGCAATACAAGGGGAACATCATGGAACATCTCCCTGCTTGTAGTTTCTTTTTAGCCATTGACATGTTTGAAGATTCGTGCACATGTCCATTTTAAACCTGAAGTCATGTATCGAACATGATTCTTGGTTCTACCCAGCCATTTTAAACCTTAGCCCAGTTGCTGGTGTCTTCTATTCCGTGACTTCATCCCACTTGGATGTACATCTCAATTATCGCAGTTGGAAAGTGCCTAGCTTAATTATCAGTATGGTTATAACATGTAAAACCATGTTATAACTTATTCTCCATTTCTATGTACTGTATATATATATATACATATTATATTATAATATACATGATTGGATATCCTCAGTTTTTATTTTATGCAGTCTATAGTCTATACGGTTCTTTGTGTATCTACACACACAAGATATCCCCAGTCATAGTCATACCCTTTTTGATCTGATGCAGATCCCACGCGTTTAAAAAAGCGCAGGGTGTCGGTGGGCGAACCCAAGCAGAGCTTCTCAGTTCTTTTCGACACCGCCTCGGGGCATGTCTTGTGCCCCGGAGAAATCCCTGATCCCATGGGATCCGGGCCCATGGGCACCTGAAATGCTTAGGACATGTTAGGACTGTTTCTTTGCTTCCAAGCTGTCTGCTAAGGGCAATTTCTGGTGAAACGTGAAACTGACCTTTTTTTTTTACTCAGTTTCCAGGTTTTTTTGGCGAAGTAGGTCACCAGTCCCAGAACTGGATGAAGGGAAGAAATTATAGGTTGACATGGTTTTACCACTTTCTGATGTTTTTAGTTCAAAACCAGGGCTTCCTCATCCTGTACAGTAAATCATGACTCGCTGGCCAACCTCTAAGGCTTCCTCATGGCTCTTGCAAGAGTCCTGCCTGCCACAAGCACCAAAGGCTGGGAATTTTGGGGGCGAGTTGTGCTGTCCTTGTTTTTCGTATTGATTCCATGATCTTCACATGGATATTCTATGGGGACATGATGGGGATAGAATGGGGATAGAATGGGGATAGAATGGGGATAAAAAAGTGATATGTTTCATGGGGGGAAACACTGAATTATACTATTTTTTCTGTGGTTGTATATGACCAACAATATGATTTGGATGATTTGGATGTGTCTCAACTTTGGGAATACCCAAGACATGCCATTTGTTGAGGTGTCACTTGGCCATTGGTTTTGGAAAGTGGACAGGGTTTATTGGTGCTTAAGACCAACTGGTTGGTGGTTTCAAACAAAATAGGTGATGTTCATCCCTGGAACGACCATCTTCAATGGCTACTTGCAAGATTTTCAACAGGAAAGGAGTCGAAACCGCAAACCAACCAAGGTAAACCCATTGCCCTGGCAATAGACAGCCACACAGAAACCGCTATGCAATAGTAGTTTTGTTCATTCTTGAGTCCTATGCAGGAGGCGTGTTTATTTGGTGGGGCGGTATCAAAAGACAATGACGATCTGGTGATGATATGAGGTTGAAATATTTGTTGATTCCATTTTTTAGCATCTTCTAGTACCATATAGATCTATATAGTACCCATTTTGATCGGTGGAATCCAGATTTTTTGGTGAAACAACAGACCTGCACCTTACAAGGTTCTTGCCATGGAAGTCCGCCACTGCCTTGGACGTGAACTCTAATGGCTTGCCGGTGGCCTGGTGGTATCAGGTTTTTGCCATAGCCTGTAGCAACATGATATGATTATGATATATATGATTCCAACATTTTCCAAGAACAATGGGGTAAAAACATGTAAAAAAACAGTCAAGAATACCAATAGTTCGTTACCATAATTGGGGACTTTGGTGCAAACTTTGGTGCACGGAGCTCTGAAGGTGCAAAAAGATCACCAGCTGACTGTGGGCCACGTGCGCCGTGATGCGGTCAATCTGGAATTTTCGCAAGCGGATTTGGGGGAAGGAGTGGCCGAAGCAGTGCTGGTGAAGGTGGGGATGGGGGTGATGGGTGAGGTTGGGGAAATGTGGAGGGGTTTCGAAGGGGAAGAGAAGGGGAACTTGATGGAACTTGGGTGTTGACTGATGGTGATACTGCTCAGTCTCACTTTGAAAAGGCTTTGCGCCAGGACAAGGTGTGCTTGGGCAACGACCTGAACCAGCTCTGCGCCGACGTGGATGTGCCATGGCAGTGCCATCCAGTGCCGGAAAAGCCTATGGTGGGTCACCGGGGATGACATGGTGGGTCTATGTGGATCTACGTGTTGAAACTGTCTCAAGATGTTACTGGTAGTACTGGTAGTACTGTAGTGACTCTCCAGGTCTATGACAGGATCATTTATAGTTCTTTTCTCGAAAGTGGGACATTGGTGGCGTTACTTCAATCATGGTTTGCTCTAAATGTATAGTCTGTAAGTGTTGCTGGTCATGTCCCAGCTTTGTTGGTCATACACCAATTGTGCCTGTTGTACATTCTTGTTTGGTGCTTATTACATCTCGCCTATTGTTCTTTTTCATGGATTTCTCTTGCCACTTTTGGGGCAACAACATGCAACAACACTATCCCTAGCTGCCAGTCTAACTTCTCCCTTTATTGGTTGAAGGCTGAAGTGAATTTCTATTTCTTTTGAGCGGGACAATTTTTGATGGTGGATTATTGTTGTATGCGCCATGGCTCTTTGGAGAGGTCAATATACAATATGGATCAATATGGATGTTTCAAATTGTTCCAATAGATAAGCGATAAGCTTTACCTAGACCTTAAGTTTATATCAGGTCCCTCCAGCGTTGGTTCCTGTAATTCGTGTAAAGCAAACCTGGACACCCAACAAATTTGTGTTTGCATCCAAACAGGCTTCCTGTACTACCAAATCCTTATATAAACGACTCCGCTGATGCTTTTGATGTCGTTTAAGCACATATATACACTGTACATATATATATATATATATCTGTATATCATATATGTATATAGTAAGCCCCAAATATATAGATAGTGTATGATAAAGTAATTGATCACTATTTGAGTAATTGATCACTGGATTTCACTGTCACTGGTGCTTGAGGTCATGGCCGCGGCAAGCCTGGAGAAGTCGATGTTCGAGGAGATCTCCAGATTTTCTAAGCGAATTTGCCGTGAATAGCCCATGGAATAAGTTTTGGTTTCTGTATGGAATAATGGTTATAGATGGTCCTAATATGTTATAACATGTTGTAATACGGTATAATCTGTTGTAATCTGTGATAATATGTTATGATATGATGAAATGTTATAGTGTGTATATATATATATATATATATTATATACATATGTATTTACGATATGTATTAACGTACCAACTATTTATTATATTAAAAGTAATTAAGTAACCCAGTGCATGAGGCTACTCTGCTTATGATATTTAATATTTACCCAACTACTCACAGTATGAGTTGCAGGTCATAAGAAGTAGCCAAGTATTAGCCCAACATATCCCAACTGACAATCCAGTGTTGTTGGCTGTATCCACTTGAGAAATCGCTCCAAACCACCAAGGAACCATTGGTATCATGGAAATCTAAGGATTGTTCATCACAAATCCTGCAAGGTTTGGTGGGATCAAGTCAGGCTGGAAACCACCAACCAGACTAATTGCTATGGCATCATGGGGTCTATGCCTGAAAACCTATGATGTTCCCAGATTTTTTTGAGGGGAACATCGATTCTCAGATAGGCTGAAATAGCATGTGTCCGAGGTTCCCTAGGCGTGAACATCTTGAAAATCTTCTGGTGAAATCCCCAAACGTTCTTCATCAATCTTTATTATCCGCATATAAATGTCATTTATAGGATAATATGGTATAGGATGGTATATTCTATATAGATATATAGCTACATGTTCTGTATGTCTATATTATATATATATATTATATATAGAGATATAGCTATAGATATACAGGCCAGTTATCCGATTGGCTCCCAGATCTCCCAGATGCCCCCAGGAGATGCCCTACGACGGCATCGTGGGGCTGGGCCTCGGCGGCTTGTCCGCCGAGGCGGGCAGCGACTTCGTGGGCCGTCTGACGGCGATGCATCCGCAGCTGCGACCGCAGATTGGATGCTTGGCGGCTGGAAAAACATGGCTGATCTACAGTGATGATATGTAATGATCATATTTACATATATTACAATATGATATGTTTATATACAGATACATGGAGAATATCTATATTGGGTTTTTGTATGTAGAATCGTAAAAAACAGTGACGACTGCTATATCAAGGACTCTCCTTGGGCGCCCAAAGCGGAGAACTTTACCTGGGACACCATGAGGCACCAGCTGTGGCATCGAGAGGACAGGGTGAGAGCCCAGCCAACATGGTCCAAAATAGTCGGGGTTTATCAAATTTTATATAATTTTATAATCAAGAGGGTGTTTCTGTTGCCATTAGCACTTGTGTTTTAGCCATCGAACATGATGTTCTACGCACCAACAATGGTGTTTTACCCGTCAGAAATTGGAGTCGATCCGCGTAAAGGTCGGGATCGGTCTAGCTGAGGGCGGAAGAGCATAATCTTGTGGGAGTCTACATTGTGACGCAAAAGCAACAAAGTTTTCAAGACATATTGGATATAATGGATATAAACAATCAGCATTCAAAGCACATCATGTAAGTATGGATATAATCAGTGGCAATGAATATGTCTGACAAGGCCTCCCCAGGCTTGTCATATCTTGTCATCAAATTCCCCAGATTCCACAGTGAAAATCCCCAGTTAGCTTAGCAATCACAGGCGCGAAAGACGGGGCAATCAATCGAATTTAAGGGTCGCTATACTAGTCTGCGACTCTGACACTAATATACATTAATGCCCAATAGATCTACATACTGTACATGGTTTCTATCTGTTGATTCATCTATCTTCCACAAAGAACATCTTGGAAGTTTGTTCTTTCGTCGGATAACCATTTGTTATATCTAGGGTATGTCGAAGGAGAGGCGAACAATCGTGTCGTCCCAGCTTCAACAACTCCAGCTTCACGAGGATCGGTGTTTTTCCCTGCGTAGCAAGGCTTCCCGTTTCACTCTGGGGGTACTCCACACTCTACACTCCACAGTTCCCACTTACACTCCACCCTTCGCACTTCACACTCCACACTTTGCACTTTACACTCCACACTTTACATTCCACACTCCACACACTACAATTTACACTTTACACTCCACACTTCACATTCTAAACTCCACACTCTACACTTTACACACTACACTTTACTCTCCACACTCCACACTTTGCACTTTACACTCCACACTCGACACTCTACACTTTACACTTTACTCTCCACACACGACACTCCACACTGATTACTTTACACTTTGCACTCCACACTCCACACTTTACACTCCACACACACTCCCCACTTTACACTTGACACTCCACACCTTACACTTTACACTGCTCACTCCACACTCTGCACTTTACACTCCACACTTTACACTCCACACTTTACAATTTACACTTGACACTCCAACACACTGCGCTCCACACTCTACACTCCACACTTTACACATTACACTCCACACTTTACATTGCACACTTTACACTCTAGACTTTACACTCTAGACTTTACACTCCACACTCCACACTTCACACTCCACACTCCACACTCTACACTTTATACTCCACACTTTACACTTACACTTTACACTCCACACTTCGCACTCCACACTCCACACTCCACACTTTACACTTTACACTCCACACTTTCATTTTACACTCCACACTCTACACTCCACACTCCACAGTTCCCACTTACACTCCACCCTTCGCACTCCACACTCCACACTCTACACTCCACACTCTACACTTTGCACTTTACCTTGACACTCCACACTCTAGAATTTACACTTTACACTCCACACTCTACACTCCACACTCCACACTTCACACTCCACACTCCACACTCCACACTTTACACTTTACACTCCACACTTTACACTCTACACTTTACACTCTACAGTTTACTCTCCACTTTACTTTGCGCACTTTACACTCCACACGCCGCACTCCACACACGACACTCCACACTGATTACTTTACACTCCACACTCCACACTTCCCACTTTACACTTTACACTCCACACTTTACACTTCGCACTCCACACTTTACACTTTCCACTCTACACTCCACACTTTACACTCCACACCCCGCACTTTACACTCCACACTTTACACTTTACACTCCACACTCTGCACTTTGCACTCCACCGTCTTTTGCATTCAACAGTCTACAGTGCACTGGTAGGGTAACAGGGGAAAAATGTAGACTGCTCAAATAACATGTTTCACAAAAGTGTCTACGTGTTACGTGACTGCATTCGGGTTCGTGGGCTGCATCTTGTTGTTTCTCAAACTTGTTGATATGTATGCATAGCATTCCACAGTGAATTATCACATACACAGTGAATTATCACATACATATGGATCATGTCAATATATACTTTTTTTTTTTCTCTCTCTCTCTCTGTATGTACATTCGTATATGCGTATGTATATGTATAATATTGATATATATATATATATAACGTGTATATATATATATGATACATGTGTATATATGCTGCGGGAATCCATGCAGCTTCAGTGGCGCCAGGTCTCGCGAATGGCCCAGGATCTAACCTGGTTCCCCGTGTTGCATCCCGAGGACCAAATTAGGGATGGGAAATGGATCTACCAACCTGAAATCCATGATGGAACCACCCTAAGAATGGATAAATATAATAATAAACATTAATGGACATGTAATTCTCGAAAATGGATAAATAATATATATATATATGGCTGATTCCATCGGGATTTATCAACGTCCAAGGCAATTTCTTTTGAAAAGGATGGTGAGTATCTTGATTTTCATGTGCGAAAACAGGGTTGTTTGTCTTGTGCCAAAAAGAAACTGATTTCGGAAAACGTTGGAGGGTTCTCTTGATTGGACATACCCCAAAGAAGGACTCAAGCTAAGAATTTGTCACTTTTTGGGTCAAAATTCAATCTTCTGCTGAAACACAAAACAATCACTTAAAACTCACTGAAAATGCAACTCTTGTTGTTGTAATCATTGGTTTTCGGCCAACATTCCCAACATTTTGCGTCTTACTCTTGAGGGTTTCAAACCTAATGTTTTCATGCTACCAACTGTTATTGTATGAAATTATGTGGTTCCTTCGTTTAAAGATGTCCCCCCCATCAGCCGTTTCAAGGACAAGGGTGGGTCCAGTTGGTTGGTGAATTATGTGTCACAACCACTATGCAGTATCAAATGATGCGATAAACATTGTATACCTGTCAGCGGTCCCAATCCAGTTTTTCCTAATACTACCCATAATTCGCATTTTCTGGTCAGTTTCATCATGTTTTATCAACAACAATCTCAGAGTTTTCGGGCAGTTAATATGTCATGATATATCCGTATGAGTTGTCTGAACATGGGGTAACCCCAAATTTGATGATTGATCATGATTTATTTTTATGTCCCCAAAATAGAATCGCCATAATTTGAGACATCAATTAGTCAATGTTCGGACACGTCAAAAGTATCAAATTGATATACATTTATGGTTATTACATTGTTATATATACACGTACATCATTGATGGTTGTATATAAATATCAATTTATCTCATCATATATGATTGTTGTTTTATCCCCATTTGTGCTGGTTCTATCACGATTTATTCCCATGGTTCATACACCTTTTAAAGGACTTCGTCGCCAGGACGGATTCTGGGAAGTCTCCGTCCAAGCAGTTCGCTTGGGCAACCGGACGCTGGACAGCTGCGAGAGCGGCTGCCGCGGCATCATCGACACTGGAGCCTCCAGGTCGTATGGTGGATGTGGCATGGTATGGTGGGCCAATGCATCTTTCATGAGGATTTTCTACATGAATAACCATGAAAAAAATAATGTCTCATTGATGATATTTAAACTGCACGAGGGAGATTCAACAACCAAATGGGTTATTTTTATGGGCAAATTGTGAATGACTTCCAAGTCTGTGCATTCAGAAGCGAACGTGATGTGGGGTGGGTAATTTTTGAACTCCCAAGTTACGGGGTGGTGCTCCCTAGTTATAAGTTGGTTTATAATCCCCTTTAACTATAGTTATATCATGTTATATCCCCCATTAACCTTAGTTATTGGAACATATTATATTGGAGCCATAAACCTTATATAGCTAACTATGGGGCCTATGGGGCCCACCCTGTACGGATGGTTTGCAATTTGTAATTAGTAATCAGAATGCCTTTTTTTTGGGTGTGTGTGCATCGGTACTCCATTCTTGACCCAAAATCGTGAAAAAACGGGCTTGGATGTGAACTGACAAGGCACTGGGATTTCATCATGGAAGTTAGATTCAACTGGCATGGGATCAAACCAGCCAAAAAAAAATAACCAAGAACCATCGTGCTGATGTGAACAATCATCCTCATATGACTGATGACAAATGACAAAGTTGAAGACCCCTTTTTGTTTGTTCGGTTTCAGATACTGTATATGGGGGTTTCCATAAATGGGGTATCCCAAAATGGTTGGTTTATAATATCATGAATGGAACATCCCATTAAAATGGATGATTTAGAGATACCCCCATTTCAGGAAACCTCCATATGTCCGTTTTTGTGAACCCCTTCTGAAGGTGTGATGGTTCTTACAATCGCCAGGTTGGGTGTGCAGAGGGAGAACTTCGAAGTGCTTCGGAGTGCTCTGTGAATTTGCAGCACTAAGCCCTGCAATGGGTCATCCCATGTTCCTCTTTGGATTGCGGATGTTCTTTTTCCCGATTTCGGAAAGATGATTTCTTCCTCATTGTTTTTGCAGATGTTCTCTTTTTTGGTCTCATTTCATCTCATTTTCCATATTTCCCATGGAAGATCTCCCTATTTGTCAACACCTTGTGACCGGTGGTGCCTCGACAGTGCTCAGGTCGACTGCCTCACCGCTGGTGGGCGGTGGTTGTCGTGGGGAGGACTTGATCTTTGACCTGGGTGTCTGGGATGCATATTGTGAAAGATTATAATAACTATATTGATAACCATTAATAACCATTAAGAACCATTAAGAACCATTAGTAACCATTAGTAATCATTAGTAACCATTAATAATCATTAATTGATAACAATAACTATAATCATAACTATAACAACAATCATTCATAGCCATTAATAGCTATTAATAATCATTAATAACTATTGATCATCCCATGATGATTCATATTGCGAAAGACATCGAACGATGATTGTACATATAACTTAAACTGTAAGGATCATATGTGTCTGGATGTCTATTGATATCTATTGATCATGATTGTTTATTTATATTATTGATGTGGTATATTGGTGTAGTCTGTTTCTGGGATAAGTATAAAGCCAATTATCCAAAACATACACTTAAATGGTTGATCGTGTTGATTGCTGGCGATGAGTTTTCTGCTCGGAAAATATGGAAATGTGTATATGATTGTATACACCTATAGAATCTTATAGACAGATTACTGAATTTCTGCGATGCCAAAATTGGGTTATCCCCTCACCGCCGTGAATGGCACCCCATGGTTGGTCCCATTGGGACTGGAGCTGCAAGGGAGCAGATAAAGTGGACTCCCCCTGTATATGATCATCAAGCATTGTCAAGGCGTATGTGCCAAGTTGTCTAATTCATTCTAATTCAATCCTTCTTTGTTGCTTCATGTTTCATTTCAAATAGTGAAGATCTATAGCCTGCTGCATGGCTTTGCCAAGGTCCGATGGCATTGACCCTGCGGGTGGAGGACTGAGAAAACTGCAGCCCTTCCACATGGCTGGTATTGGATGATTATGCTGAATTGAATCTGAATGGCAAATTGGCAAATCTGTTTAGGTCAAAACCACCAATCAGTGAGACATTTGGCCAATCAAACGCAATACAGCTTGTAGTGCCGTCCCCTGCAACACTCTGCATGCTACAGCAAACACGTTAAACTCACGTGAATGACCCAACTCAGTGACCCACTCACTGTCTATGGAGTCTACCAGATAAGATGGACCTTTTAAACCCCACCTGTGATAGGTGTTTCCAACAGCAACCAAAATTAACTAACCATGCAGTATAATCAGTTGATATCAGTTGGATGTTGCTATAATCCAGTATAATCATGTATCATCAATGTAATGTAACTAACTCAGTGGATGTTAAAATGTAGGATGTTGGTTTTATCCATGTTTTATCCATATTGAAATAGCCTGGCCATACACTGCTTGTGACGCTAGGACTATGCTGCTGGAAACAGCTGTGCCCCTCAGCTGGGGGCTTTGGAGTTGGACCCCAAGGAGCACAAAGGGATCTGGAGCAAAATTGAGTTGTTTTCCCATGATATCCCCTATAAATCCCTGGAAATCCCCATGATATCCCCTATAAATCCCCAGAAATCCCCATTATATCTCCTATAAATCCCTAGTTGCAAGGGGATTAAAAAACCAGCGATATTGAGGAAGTATCCAAGCAAATGGGACTTACAGTAAGCAGCAGTGGCGGTTTGACAGGAAAGAAGGGGCCATAATCGCGATGTGATGCAGACGGTGGAAATGGGATAGGTCAACATGTGTTGGCCCCAACAGAACCACACATGGACTGGCAATTTTGGATGCTAAGCATTCGCATTAACATTGGCAAACTTACTCTCGCTTCTCAAGTTTGAGCCCCATACCCAAACGTATCTGACTGGGAGTGACGGATCATTTTCCCCGCATGAAATCACGAGCCAAACTGCAGGATCGTGTGAATACAACTGCAGTGGACACTCATTTGCCATGGTATAAGGGGGATATTCACTGCCTGTGAGATGATGGGTTGCTACAATTGTCATTTCTACAATTGTCATTTCAGAAATGTACAACAATAGATCCGAGCATTTGTGTGACAATCAAGAGGGGCAGGTCTTGAGTGACCACTGGCATGTTCTGAACAGTGATGCCAATGTGTGATTTTCCCACCGCGAAGAACAGGACTTTCATGGCGTCTACGCTTTCGGCGAGGCGGGACAATTGCCTGTAGCAAAAATGACAGCCAAGTAATATAAATCAGAAGCCCCAGTCCGTATGGGCCGTATATTTCCAATGTGTTTTGCCGCTATTGTTGCTGTGGGGAGAGCACCTGTGGACGAACAACTTTTCTTGGCAGAGGGCCGACTTGATTCTGGCTGGTGTCAGGACTTGGCTTCAGTCCAAGGGGCATGGGGACATGCAGGAGTTCGATCCTCCCTGGTCGGCGTTTCTCTTTCTCTGATCTTTCTTTGTTTTCCCACTTTTTGTTGCTTCTCTTTTCTTTTCTTTCGTCCTTCTTCAGGGTTGACTATCTTGCGCCTGACCTGAGGGACTTGGACGCCCATGGCACAATCACATCACACGGTCTTTTTTCATCTTGCATCGCCACATCAGCTGCCCCAGCTGTCGCATGTGGGTTGTAAAGATACCCTTTCATGCTTCCGGATGCTTAGATAGGGTCAAGCGGGTAAAAGCTTGGATACAATCCCGCCACCCTGCAAGTATAGACTTGCCACCAAATCATCATGAGTCCCAATTTCTGCTAATTTCCAGGATCAGCCAAGTATGGGGGGTTTAAAACGACCATTGCGTGTCTGCTCAAGCTTCGTTGTTGATGAAAACTTCAGTGGTTAAGCCTCTATCTCAGCCACACATCCTAGAACTCTCGTTCAATTGGTTTGCTCGATAAAACTATTTTCCTAGGTTAAGATTTCAACATATGTTTCATTAGTTCTATCATGTTCAATTTCTATGCTTAAAAGTTGTAGACATGAAATCTTTCTTTTGTCAATGCCCAATCCTTCTATTTGATGGTTGTTAGGTATAGCATCTCGCAACTGCATGAATTTGTAAAAACAAAAAATTGCAGCGGTTAAATTCACAGATGTCCCAAGTTTTCATGGGTAAAAAACAGTTTCCATCCTTAATTAAATCTCGAGTTTCAATTGGCAAAACCAAATCCACTGCTACCTTGGTACAATCACAGTTCCATGAGGTAAAATCTAATTTTCCATAGATTTTTTATGGCTTCAATCCCCAATTTCCATAGGTAAATCCTCCCATCAACTCACCAGGCCACCTTGCGCCAGTACTACACGGCCCTGGACTGGACCTCCCGGCGCATCGGCTTTGCACCTGCGGCCAAGCGAAGAGTGGCCCTGGGCGCCCTGGGACGGGAGAAGATGGCGCCCATCTATGCCTAGGCACCCAGGCGGACCTGGAAATCTGGGTGGATCGGGGGGTTGGAATGAGATTTTTGGGATGAATGGAGGTTGGAATGAGAAAATCCTTGAAGAAACTGGTGATTTTTTTCAGCATGCCATGTTGGATTATTGGCGGGTATCTACCAACTCAAGGATTTTGGTATGATTGGATAGGATCCAAGAAAGATGTGCTGGCAGCCAGCAACAGCATGGCTATATTCCTATTTGGTCGTCAAATGTGAACATATCCCATACCTTAAAAGGTGTAAAATAATTAAAATAGTTGCTTATGGCAGATTTCGATAGACTTCACATGAAACTTTGCTGAAGAATGTACGTGTCAAGGATCCTGATGATCATTACATTATTTCCCTCAACAGTCCAGCGCGGTATCATTCAAAATTTAAGCTTCTGAGACCGCAGATTGACTAGTCTTTCCTTGGATCACATGACAAGTAGCAAAATGTTAACTGCCCTATTACTAATTGCCACTCCTGCTCGTAGAATGAGATTGCAGCCACATACCCATGTTCACACTGGACGTAAAAAGAGTTTCTAGTAAAAACTTTTGAACCAAAGTGCAAAACACTTTGGTCATTCTGGCAAAGAGAACTCGGAACCATCTTTTTTAATAGGGACATGATCTCAAAATGGGGGAATTTTGCATTGTCAGGTTTGGTCGTGAAACCACCCATTATCCCTGCCGTGATCACCGTAGGCATCCTTCTGCCCTCGTTCCCGGGCACGTTCCCACGGCCACCCATCGTTCACAAGCAACGGGCCAGAAAAAGATGTGTCCATTGCGCTGTGCTCAAGTAGGAATGCAGGAATGCTGTCTTGGAGTATAGATGAGTATAGACCAAAAGCTATTGAAAATTGTTATTTATAGTGGATTTTCCCATTAAAAATGGTGTTTTTCCATACTTATGTTAGTTTGCCAGAGGGTACATCATTTACATCTACTCCAATGGATCAACCAACTTGAAAGTGTGCAAAGTGGAAAGATGTGGAAAGTAATGCCTGGCAATCCCTGACACCTTGGGATGATTGGTTTAGGTGATGACATGCCTTTGAGGAATGGGTTGACAACATACAGGTAAGAGAAGTGATGGAGCTCAAATTCACACATGATAAGTTGAAAGTTGCGATGCTATATCCACACCAGTGGGATTCCCCCCATACATCTTGGAAAGACAACATGCTGCAGGGAAAATTGGATGTCTAAGGATGACTTGCTCTTTGGAATGGCCCAGCTCTGAAACTCAATGATGTACATCCAAACTGTATCCCATTCATTCTCGGCTTTCTAAGTATTTCAGTTGCATGTCACATCATTCCAGACTTGCTTTACACACAGCTTCACAAGAACCCCGCCAGGCATACGTTTCTGGCGATTTCAGCCTGATTTTACCTTCATTTTTTCCGCTAAAGTTATTAAACACACATCAAAGGAATCTTGATTCAAGGGGAACACATTAAGATGATCTGATTTCGGTGATAGCCAGGATGATGTCATCCAATGATGGCTCTCACCAAATGAATCCAGATCTCAGTGGATTCTCATCCAAAAAATCCTGAGTTCATCCAATTCCCAGACTTGGATGATGGGGAAACAAATCAGGACCTTCCTTACAATTTCCTACCCTCTGGTAAACTAACATAACTATGGAAAATCACCATTTTTAATGAGAAAATCCACTATAAATGGCCATTTTCAATAGCTACGTTAAATTACCAGAGGGTAATGATTAAGAAAAATATATTTGATGACATACAGCAACCATTAACATGACCATATATCACTATATTAATCACCACGATGTTCATATCTGGTTGGTAGTTTCAAACATTTTTTATTTTCCATAATATATGGGATAATCCTTCCCATTGACTTTCATCTTTTTCAAGATGGTTAAAACCACCAACCAGATATACTGTATATACAATATTGGTATTTATATATGTTTATTGGTATATAGTTATTGATAATATGGTTGAATCATGTTGAATATATTAATAATCCCATTAATCGCCATTAATCACTATATTATTCAATATATATATGTTGAATATCCAATATTCCCAGTGTTTGAAACCAATGTATCCGTCCCAGTCGCAGGGGAACTCGAGTTCCTGGAGCTCCGCAGCCGGCGTCGGCGATGTGTCGGCGAAGAGCTTCAGGACCAGCTGGGAAGGCGCGGAGCTTGAAGCGTGTTGAAGAAGATTGAAACAACATTGATGATAGGGATATATATATAATTCCATATTATATATATAATACTATAATAGTATATATAATATATATCATACTGTAATAGTATATATATATATTATACTATACTATAATAGTATTATATATATATATATAACTGCATGTACATACCCTAAAACACATGAGTATCAATTATTATACACATATACTTAGGGTTGGTAACTCATCATATACTATTGGAATTGTAGAAGCTCATGAGAATCCATTAGATTGAAAAAACATTTGAGAACATTTGCATTCACCTATATACTTAAAACTTATCGTCCAGAAAATCGTGAAAGCGAACATTTGTATAAGAATCATTAGGAGGATCAATTCCCCCACAACGATACAAAACAACATGGTTTGGTCCCTTGTTAAACAGGAAATATGGGTATGGGTCAATTGATGCAGGACCCAACAGGCCATTGGTAAAAACGTGACAACATTTGTCATGGATGGGAGGCTCGTTTGCAGGCCATCCCGCACCCACAGTCCTAGATGGATTAGTTGGATGTGCCCTATTGGGATTTGGAAAGAAAAGCGTCCCCCAATTTTGGGGACAACCAGCAACTGATGAGGACATGATGAAATCAGCCATGTATCATTGGTGGATAGCATAGGTGGATGTTGCAAAAAGGAGCCAGCACCATGAAGTTCTGTGGGTATAGTCAAGGGGAGAATCTTTGGACACGTCAACCATCCCCAAGCACTGGAAAGCAATTTTCGCTGTATCCAGAAGATGTCAGGGTGGCCTCCTCCAATGGCTACACGGCAGCATTATTCGCCCTGTTTCGAGGCGCTGAAGTTCAAGAACAAAATTTGTTTGGGTATCCAGCAGGAAATAGAAATCTAGCATTATCTCACGACAAAACTCAGAGTTGATTTTTGAATGTTTTTGAAAGGGTATGCAATGTCCCAGAATCAATGACTGCTCAAATCAACTGCTCGAAGTTCAGGTGATCGTGGGCTTGGGTCTCATGGTTCTCGTAATTTCTGAGAAGTCAGAATATGACGAAGACCAGACCCGTATAATTGATGTTGCTGTTGTCTTTCCCAAAAGGCCCCCCAAAGAAACATGCTAATGCAATAAAGACTACATGATGTTATCAATGTTATCACAACATTTTGTTGGTCATCTATTGATTCAAAGGTCCTCACATCAACCATATACATAGCATATTCACGGCTTAATGGGGATATGGTAATCCATGGCTTGATAAATGGGCAGTGTTCAACACCCCTGTTGATGATTAGTTCCAGGGTTTTACTGCCCTTATGTATTGATGCTATGGGATAATAATAGCAATATACAATTCATCTTAGTTTGGGGCCACACTACCCTTTAAATTCCCATGGTTAGTAAACCATTAACGCCATAGAATCGCATGGTTAAACTATAAACTAGGGAATCCCATGGTGTATATGGATAGGTTTTATCGTTTTATCCTTTATTATAATATTATGATGCATCTACTACACTATCAACATCTATTATCCATAAACCATAGTTTTTGGTTTATGAATCCCATAATTATCAGAATCACATATTGGATCAACTTCTTGTCAGAAACCAACAAAAAACGATGGGGTTTTTCATAGATGGAACCAGTCCCAACTGAATCATTTTGGATTCCCAACCAACCAAGCAGCTTTGTCCCAGCCCAGGACTTGGCTGCGGCCCAAAGCTTGGCTACCTCTGTGACGAAGCCGGGCTCCAGCCGGGTCTCCGGGCTGGCGCTGCAGGCGTGGGCGATTTGCCAATTTTACTGGGAAGAGATGGGAAGATGAAATTTGAATTGGGAAGATCATGGGATAATGTACTGTAGCCAAAAAAATCTGGATGGATTGAGTTGTAGACTTTGACTTCGAGCATACTTCGAGCGTTGTCGGGATAGGGTCTATCATTTTGTAGTCCACTAAGACAAGGGATGAGCAAACCTGACATACTCTCCATGATGATGGAAAGAAACGCCACATGCGATAGGTAAAACGTGTGGGAGCACGTGTATATATATATATATGCATTTTCCAGCGCCATGTTTTTTTTTGTAATTGGAGGTTAGCGACAACCTGCGATTGAACAACCCTTTGGTTAATCCGTCTGATTTGATTTTCATTAACCCGGGGTGAACAAATCCTGGGTCAACATGATGTAAACAATGTAACACCAGGATATGACCAACAAACGTGGGGTACAACCCTTGAACAAGCACTCCAAAGATAGCATCAGATTACTTCAGTTTGTCATGAGACAGAACCTAAAGTTAGGACCTGAAGCGAATGGACGGATATACCTACCCAGACTGTGTGGGATACTTAAATGGCGATAGACCAGCTGGCTTGTTCCAGTGAATAAGCCCCTGATTGGAGTTGATGGTGGTTAACTATACACTACCAAACATCACATGGGCTCATCATGTCTCTTTTCCTACCTGGTGTTTCTCCAAAATTGAGGCAATCCAAAACCATTGGTTTTCCGTTGAACATATCCAGTGAATTCTATCGTAACTTGGCGTCCACCATTTTCGGAACCCCCAAATATCCCCGGATATTGAATGATATTGATTGTTACTATCTCCATACATATATTATAATATATTATATATGTATCTATTGGTTAAATATCCCCATATAATCTCAACTAGGGGAATTTTCCCATGATCTATCTAGTTGGTGAATCCCCCATATATGGAGTGTTAGCCCATCCATTATTTCTCCGAAGATGCTGCTCCAATTTAAGCGATTATCCCCTTTGTATCCAAACCACCTATGTGGGTTTGTCTAAATAAGAGGATACACAGAAAATCCAACGGTTAGTCACACCATTCCCTATGAAAGTGGCGGTGTATACCTCATTTTCAGGACAAGCCACATATTTATCCAAATATTGTTGGTTAGATATATGATGATATATCATGATATATATATATATATAACATGTATATATATATATTATCTATCTATCATGGTATATCTCACAACATCTCCATTTTGCATGGGTTTTAGAAGGGTCACATCCCCCATTGTTGATACCTCCAGGCGGCTGCCCGGGCGCTCTACGAGACCAAGAACTTCGTTAGCAGCGCGGTTTTGCTGTGGGAGCTGCGCGACTTTGGAGTGGACCGGGAGGTGAAGATACGGAAACAACATGAAACGACATGGGAATGGATCAATACCTATTACATAATACCATTTTTAGTGGGATGAACATCCATTTACCAGCTATTTTGATGTTCACCAGGGGTACAAGGTTTTGACACACTGCCACATGAAACGACACGAAAGAACGTGAATAACATTTAGTAACTCCAAATCACCAATGTTTCTTAAGTTGGTTAAAGATGAAACTGAAATTCTGAAATTCTTTATTCCTTAGACATGTTGATCAATGTGTTTATCCTAGAAGACAACCCACGGTTTTTCTGAAAACCAGGTGCTGGAGCGACGGCTGGACGTAGTGAAGGCTCAAAATTTGTTCGACCAGGTTGCCGTCAGACTGGGTACTTCGGCCAAGAATAGTTGAGTCATGTTGAGTTTAATTGATGGTTTATCAGTATGTTCTCCCTTTTTGTTGATGGTTTATCAGTATGTTCTCCAAATTTGTTGATGGTTTATCAGCATGTTCCCTCCTTTTTTGATGGTTTGTGGTTATTTTCCACCTTCATTTGATGGTTTATCATGATGTCTCCCAAAGCTGGTGGGTGGTTTCAGATACATACCTCTGTGGCACTTCACCACGCATGTTGTATTACTTGTAGGAGTTTACCCGGTATTGGTGAGCCCCAGGTTTGAACACAGGTGGATTGGGTTGTGCCTAACAACAATGGGAGTTCAATCAACAACAGTTTTAGTTCTATGTGCAGCCAACAATCATGGCAAACTCAGAGATTTCTTCATGATTTTTCCACGGGTATGATAAGCAACCAAGATGCCAATGTGACCTACAAATTTGGAGGTCTGGCCAACTTTCACTGATTTGAATGGCATTTCAAGCGCAAATGAATGGTAAAACGGTTTCTTGATGTCTACATCACGATCGCGGAGAAGGAACAACACATGGACCATTTCAATCCATGAATGCAAACGTGAACTTGTGAGATCCCATTTCCCCAACTAACATATATAATCATATATATATAGATAGATAGATAGATCCTGAAAACAACCCATACTTGTATCAACCGGAAAACACCAACTGGCAGGGTTTATGTTCTTTGGGCAGATAGCCCTAGGCGTGGCATATCTCGATGCTGGACTTTGGCGGGATGCCTGGGAGGCTCGGCTAGACGTTTCTTTACCAATGACATTTTACAGGCTCAATTTCCATTTCAAGATATGCCAGGTGCTTCAATTTCCAATTTTTATCCATGTAAAATCACACGTTTAAAGCGACAATCCCATATCTTTGGCTTTAACAACCGCCATTTCGAGTTGTAGAATGTAGAGTGACTCCTACAACTCCCTTTTTCGAACAAGTCAACTCCTCACAGGCTATAATGGTGATATAAACCATCAGTTTATATAAGGTACCACTATATAAATAATGGTGATATATGGTTCATGGATGTTCATGGCAAAACCATGGCTATCCATGGGTATAACTGATGAATCCCATCCCCACAGGCCTTGATGGGCGCCTGCGCCCAGCCGCGCCTGTCGCGGCCCTTGGCGAAGATCGCCGTCGCGGCCCTGGCCGATGCGGCGGAGCGCGGCGCCAACGCGTCGGAGGCGTTGCAACAGGCGGCCGTGGCTGCAGGGATGTTATTTTAGGGCCCAAGATTGGTGGTAAACCTAACTTTCGCTTGTTTTACTGAGATGGTTTGGGGAATGGTTTGGGGGAATGGTGTTTGAGAAGAATACAAGGATGGATCAAAGGCCATGATTTGCCATTGGGATGATGAACATCCAGAAGTCACATTTTTCTTGGGGTAAACAAATGGATACCATGGTTTTGAGTTTTGACCCATACCCATGGAACATGATTACGGATGATTACGGAACATGACATACTATTTGATGGAACATTATATTAATGTGATTTATGTGGCTTCGATCATCTTATTTTTTGAGATCTGCCAGCTGAGGTGGAGACACATTAACTAGAGATCGAGGTGATTTAAAAAGTTATTGCATTTGAACATAAGTACGGGAATGTACGGGACATAATGTTGGGTTCTGGAACGATATGGAATCTATGGATTTCTGGGCATGGTTTGGGAAAATGATGTAGGAGTTTTAATGAAATGGTGGTTTTGAGTGAATAAATGTGGATTGAAGGAGGAGACAGATCGAAATTTCCTGAAATGGTGGGATCATATTCTTGGATATTGTTGGAGATGGAAACTTTGCGACACTATTCTGATTAATTTCGACCATCAGAAAATGGAGCAGAACACACATAGAATCAGGGGCCATCCCAACTATCAAAAGAAGTTTGAGTAAACTGCAAGTTTGTAGCTTCTCCGCATTTTGGGAGTCAACGAAAGATCATGAGAATTACGCCCCCTGAAAACACTCACAGCCCAGTAGCAAGGCACAGCGAATCCAATTACCAGCAACAAAGATAGTTGAGCCTGTTTAACGGCCAACCAGTCATGCTATGTCATGCTGGTGGATGTCATGCTGGGTCTCCAGGGGATCTGTGGTCGTTTCATGTTTCCATGTTAGGTGGAACTGCTGCAAGGGCTGTTGGACGCGGAGGCGAGCCAAATCTCGTCAAAGAAACGGGGTATGTTGGTTGGCCAAAAGTATTAGCTATGAAATTGCCCAATAAATAGAGCTGAGTTGGGTTGCCAAGTCTCAAAGAGTAAATATGTCGATTTTAAGTTGATTTTAAGTTGAACATTCATTCAGTTTATGGAATCTGCCCATTTTTAGGATGGGACTGCGGGTCACGGGAGGCTGTGCTGAGAGCCTTACCCCGCGATCGCCGGGAGGTCAGGGGGAGCCAGCTGAAATCATCCGGTAAGATAGTCATATTTGTTGTTTGACGATCTATGTACTGATAACTGGTTGGTGGTTTGGAACATGTTTTATTTTTCCATATATTGGGAATAGTGATCCCAATTGACTATAACTGACTAATATTTTTCAGAGGGGTTGAAACCACCAACCAAGTTAATGATATACAACATTTAGTCTATTTTGATCGTAAGATGATGGCAATGGGAATATTACCAAAGATCATTTAGATGAAAATTATGATGATCTTCTGGTGGAGAATGGTTGGTGATTTTAGCAGCGTTTTTTTTCGAAGTCCATCTCCCAAAATGCGATCATAATCCTAATTGGCTAGCCATACCCCATCATACCCCCACAAAACTGCATGGTTTGCAACACTTTTTTCACCCTAAGCTGGGCAATCCGGTCCCCCTGATTCAGGGCCTGGAACTCTACATGGCTCTGTCACTGGAAAAGATCGGGCGCAAGAAGGCGATGGTTGACCTCACGGTTTTTTGGGTTTTTACGGTTATCCCAAAAGTAAACCACATCAAATAACATCAAATAACCTGACTAGTGTATATCATCTCAAGCTGGGGGAATAGCCTGGAAATCCCATGATTTTCCCCAGCCAGGAGAGCCGTGAGCTACTCACGCGCTTGGCCCAGCAGGGCACGTCCACACGGAGGAAGCAGGTGAGGGTGGATGGGTTGGGGTGGTGAAGCTGCAAAAGATGGGGGATGAAACTTCCAAATTGTGGATGTGGCCAAATTTGACATTTTTTTTCAAAATGGTTCCATCTATCGAGGAGAACAATATTTGCGCCACGGACTCCGCTACTCGAAATTCGACCAGGATTTCACTTGAAATCCTGGAAAAGATAGAGAGAGAGGCCAAGGCATATCAAAGCATATCAAAGCATTCAAGTTTTGGGGAGCCAATTGACCCATACTCATACGGGGTCAACAGGTGAAGGTTCAGCACTTTTGGGGAAGCAACTTGGCTCCCACACAGCCCGTTTTGTGCAGGCTGAATGGGCCTTGCTGGTCCAGGCACACTCGGGATGTGTTTTCGTCATTCTCGCAGTAGATCCAATAGTCATGAAACTTCGAAGCATAGTCACCACCGCTGCCGCCAGCACCACCGCCATCATCCTCATCATCATCATCCTCATCATCGTCATCACTGCTACTGTGATTATTACTCTTCTCAACCCCGTTTTAAAACAACAATCATCGATGATAATGATAACAGTAATAGCAACATGAAAAATTACCATCGTCATCCTCATGGTCATTGTCCTTGCCAGGATGCTGAAGTCTCAGACAACGCCGAGGGCCGCGAGATGCGACGGATTTGGGAGCAGGCGTGCCAGTTGAAGGGATTTACATGTTTGTATAGCTGATGTATAGTTGTATAGTTGTCTACTATTGTATACTCATACCTGTTTTGTATTGTTTTATCATGTTTTTAGTTGTTTTTATATGCTGGTGTTTCCATCAATTGAAGAGCTTCTTTGTAGAATTTTGTAGATGGACGTTTTCCCATGGAGCTCACAAGCTAAGCCCTAGGCTCCATCGCCCATCCTTCAAAGTTCCACGAGCCGCGGGGCCGGTGCGGCCAAGATGATGTCCAAAGAGGTGACAGCGCCAAACTTTGGGGAAGTTGTAGCTACAAAAGGATGTTACAATGGTACGATTGGGTGTGGTAATCTTTCGAAGTCGATGTCTAGTTCCAGGTCACAACATTTGCCCCTGAAAGAGTTAAGATGATGGGCCCATGAGGATTCACTGCTCGGGATTTGTTGACTGTTGCTTGTTTGAGCTGAGTTCATAGCCCGTGCGTGTTGTAGCCTATTTCCATCTATTTCCACTACGAGTTGGGTCCTTTGTTGAACGAAGTCCAGTGGTTGGTTGTGATTGTCACTCTGCTGGCCCCGACACAGGCAAGAGCAGGGCGATCTGCGTTGGATGAAGCAGCACCAGTGCTGGCAACATTGCTACTGGTGCTCGACCTTAGCCGTGACTGGTAGATTGATGGGTGAATTTCATAGCCATCCATGGGAATATTTTGACATTAGTTCCTGCCAAGAAAGAAAATGCTCTGTATCCGCCAGGTTGCTCATGTTGACCCCTGTTGATAGATTGGGACGCAAGCGTCAAAAGACACATTGGTATCAGCCAGCAAAAGCAAAGAACAAGCCCGGGAAAATGGCGATCACCGATTGTTACTCTAGTTAATGGTACTACCTAATGGTACTGTAACTCTTGGGGTTCCTACGTACTACCTGACTACCTGTTTCAGTAGGAATTCCCATCCAACGAGTAGAAACAATCTGGCACAACTGGGGCCTCCCCAATTCATCATTTCAAGCTTTGCTTTGCAAGGTACACCAAGAATGATGGCTTGGGGTTTCCTCCTGTTTCTGACATGCATGCCCTCTTACGATTGGTTGCAAGTCCAAGTCTGAACCCACGAAGCTAGGGATTTTGATGATTTATGTTCGCATGCACGAAGAGCCCAGTGATTTGAAATGCCAGATGTGTCCCATGCAAGATGCATTACCCTTAGACGACACACAGGCACAGATTGTGTTGGCATCATGTGGTACGTTTCCAGCAATTTCGTGGTTCACCAATCTTCAATATCCATCAATATCAATGAATGCGAAACAGGCGTTGCCGTTGGCGGTGGTGCCATTGCTGCTCCTCAAGGGGCAGTAGCAAAAAGTGGGCCTGGACCAACCTTGGTGGATGTGGCTCCAGCCGATGGTTCGTTGTTTGGCAATGTGGGGTGCGGGAAATGCACCAGTTCCATATCCAACCAGCTATAAATCAACTTCTGCAGGGCATCAAAAATCACCATGATTTCTAATGGTTGATCCAGGAGAATTTGGAATCACCCTATTGTACCGGATGTGAGGTGCATGGGTTTTTTCTAATATGTTTTTTTCCGTTGGGTTGACACGGTCTTGGTGATCTCCTGCAATAACGAGCCCCTTGATTCCCATTGCCAGGCGAAGCAGTTGCCTCTGCTGGACCAGCTAATGAAATTGGAAGCTGAACAGGAGGACGCTGCTGGAAACTGGCGACTTATGGTTGGGGTGGAACACGGTGGAACAAATTGGGGGTGAAACATAGCTACCAGTTGGATCCAGTTGGCAGAATTTTTGGAGGTCAAGAAATTTGACCCATAACTAGTGAAGATCAGGCCAGCGATTCAGCGATGCTGTTGCTTTGGTGGTTTTGTGTTCGTTGGAACCATGATTGGTCGGAAATTATGAGTGGTTCGTGATTTCACTTCTTTCTAAACTCCAAAAAATATCAAAAAATCAGAAAAATGGGATGACGATCCCGTCAACATTCATATTTTGGTGGGTGAACAAAAGCTTCCAGCCGTGCAGCCGTGCAGCCATTGTAGAGCCAGGAGAGACGGCGAGAATTAGCCGCCCTCCTCGAGAACCAGGGAACCCGGCACCTTGGTCGATGGATATTGTGTGAAGCCAATGAGTACCCACTGGTCAACTTGGCAATCGACAATCTCCATTCCTAGATGTTCCATGAATTTCCTATAATGTCCTACACATCATAGAAAATTTCGTTGGATCCCCACAACGGGAATCAATCCATGGCTATATGGTTTCGAAGAGCTGAGACTTGGGAAAAGGACACTTTCTGATTCGACGACAAAACGAGATGCAGCACCCCGTGGCTGAGGCAAAACACTCCGGAAGAAGCAGAACGTTGGGAAGCCCAGCGGCGGATCCATTCTTTCAAGGGAGACTTTAGTATATTTAGTCACTTTGGCCCAAGGAAAGTCAAAAGAAGGCCAAAAGAAGGCCAAAAGAATCATACATAATTACCCCAAACAAGATCCACAACTGTTTTTGCGAGGATTTATATATTGAATTCACACGGAGAGTCAGATTTTATTGCTTCGTCTGAGCTAAAGGGATGTCTGTTTTCGTAAATCTCCAGTGTCAACTGATTGAATGGTTTGGTGGTTTCATGATCTGTTTCATGTGGTTTCAAACATGTTTCATATCCCAGTGGAAAAAATATGCAGAAATGATATCTGGCATTTTTCATACCATTTTTCAAACATGTTTCGTATCCTGGCATGATGATTGCATTGATCCCAGTGGACCTTCGGTTTTTGTGGCCCCGGAGCTGAAAGGTCAACATCTTATGAAGGAAAATCGGGAACGCCTAGAGGATTGGTCTGGAAGAGTTGATGGCGGGTGGAATGATAGGGAAGTTACTAAGAAAATCTCCGCATGAAGGGTCACTGCATAGCAGCAGTATGCATTTGCATGCCGTATAATAAGCACAGGCTGCATTTTAAACCATGATTGTTTGCAGATTTGCTGAGCTTGTGTTGACAGATTGGCTTATGAGTAGAGGTGGAAAAAGGCATTGTGATCCTATGCAAGTGTGTATCAATAGTGTTTGCTAAGGGTTTATTAACCACCAAAAACGTCCAACAACGTCCAACAAGCACTATAATTATATTGAGCCGTCATGGTGAGCAGGAACTTCGTTTCGATCAAATGATCCTCATGGAGAAGCAGAAGCTTGGCAGCGCTGTCCAAAGGTTCTGGTGTACGGTGTTTTTTTCCCCCGATTGGTTCTAGGATTCTAGGAAATGTCGGTTGAGTGGGCTAAAAATATGATGGTTTTTGGATGGTTTTGAATTTATTTTGATCCGTGAGCAGAAGTCGGAAGAGTTTAAACAAATTGGAACCGTGTTGCCCCCGCTACACGACCGAGACCCGGAAAGGATATCTATCTCCAAGTGCCGTGGCCGTTACCTGCATCACTGAGGCGTGAACTTCAGCATGTGGAGATGGATGTGCCAGCTCTGGAGGTGGGAGATCTGGCGGATGCCAGTGAGGGATGTAGGTGTAGGGTCAGAGCGATTTCTAGTAGTGCATCATAGTGCGTTTTGTTCAGAAGGTTGCTCCAAATATCTGCTCTGATAGTTGGCTCAAGTTGGCTCAGCTGTCAGCAAAGTCAAGCACCACTTGGCTCAAGTCATGGTCAATTCCTTGGATCCATTCTGCCGATTAGCTCAGGTTAGCATGTCCACGAGAAGGGTTGGCACAAAACCAACAAAACATGGGAATACAAAGCAACCTCCCTACCTTTGATCGATTTGAGACAAGTCTGATTTTTTGGGCCTCGTGACTCATGACCTCGCGCATTCTGAAGTTGATGGAGCAATGCTTGCACTGATTGCAGCCTCGTCAGCTGCGCTTCAGCCCTATGCAGTTCATACTCCTAGTCGTGGTCATATCTCTGGAATTTGTTTGAGCCAACCAAGTTTGTCTAGGAAGTCCAGCAAGCACGTCGCATGGAAACATGTTGCGGGACAAGAGAATTCTTCCCATGATTCAGACGCTGTTTGTTGAAGGGTGGTTTTTGAAGGGAAGACTGAAGGTTTTCGAGTTGAGTATCTTGGAGCCTTGTGGCTCCTGGAAACATTGGAAACTGGAAGGCTGTCCAAGGCGCTCGCCTCTGTGACGTGCAGGTGTACTTCGTCTTGGTCCTGTCTTGGGGTGCTTCCCTTTTTAATCCAAGCCATGCTGACTGCCCTGATTTGGCATCGGGCCATCTGAGACCAGTTTGACACACTGGATGTGACTTGTGACCCTCGCATATCACATCTCTGAGCACATCAAACTGGTCATTTCGGAGCACTCTGCTTGCAGCATTTGATGATGCAGATCACTGCTTTTTTCGAACCTGATAAGCAAACTGTTTCAATGAGCTGCCCACGAGGCACCTCTTGAGAGGTGGCTCGTGGCCAACTCAATGTTAAGTTTGCAGGTGTTGAGTGTCGGATATTTTCTGGTGCTTTGAAGATTTTTGATGGCGGATCATGGCGGATCAATCGAACCGACCACCCACCCCTGAAGATATACTAGCAAGAGATAGACATGGCCGCCTTACAGGAAACCAATAGCTTTGCAGTGTGCCAGAAGCTGGTGACGTGAGAATAACAAGTCCGTGCGAGCTCCTGCTGTTGGGTGTGCAAAATATTCCAAAATGCTTTTGGATAATGCAACCCCCCACGAAGGTAGCAGCATTAAGTGTTGATTCATTCAGCAATCTGAGATTCACCGCTTTATTCAAAAATGAAGGTTGCTTAAAGAAAACACAAACATGATAACATGATATAACATGCAGGTTCGAGCCGGAATCTTTCAGATCCCTTGCAACATGTTGAAACCATTGGTGCTCTGAATACTCCACGACACGATTTCCACACTTGTTGGTCCTTTGAATACCGCAACGACAACGGAGATGCCAGTTGTTTTGCCACGAATAGGGACAATAGCTAGAGATATGTCCCAGCAATATTATGTAGTATGTAGGTAAGTATGTAATGTAATGTGTTTATGTGTTGGTAGTATTATGTAAACTATGGTATGTATGGTACGGTATTGTAAGGTATGAATGTAATGTAATCTACTGCAACGCAATGCATGTAATGCATTGTGACTGTGCGGCCTGGTGTGGTATGGATTTATTGCAATGTAAATGCTTTAGGGTATTTAGGTAGGTGTGTATTTGTATCTATATATATATATACATATTTTAAATTGTTTGAATATCATCATTTTTTTCCTATATCTTATGAATCTTATAACTTTGTATCTCTATATGAGCGCCCAAATACACACATAATATATATATAATAAATATATATATATATTCATAATATCAAACTTAAAATGAACACAAAACCATATATTTGATGTTGAACCCACCAGGTTCAAGGGTTTTCTCTGGTTCTCAACCATGCAGCCATGGCCATCCAGATCCAGGCGAAACCGGAAGAGCTGAACCCCTTTGGTGACTACTACAGGAAGCACATCCTGAAGGTCTTGCCGCCAAGGCGCGCACCTGTTGGACCCGCAATATTGGCGAAGTTGGTCAAGCTTGGGGGAGGACCTTTGTTATGTGTTTTCCAATTTCCTTTGTATGTTTTGTTTTCTGAGATTAGTGACTGGAGAAATTTGATGCATTTTTTCTGCGTGGTGGGTTCGAACCTGTTTTTCTTCATATTTTGTGTTGGGGATGATGAGCCCAGCTGATTGCCGATTGCCATATTTACCTGGTTAGGGCTGCTGCAGTTGCTGGGTGAACGTTGGTGACTGGCAGATTAACGGCTCAATTGCTGGCATACATATACTTGTGAAAATCTTGTGAACTACTATAAGACTATATATATACAGGAGATGCATGCACGAATTCAAATATTTTGACATACTGAGGCAGAAACTACTTATCAGTTTTTTTTGGGTGACCTTGGCTGTGGCTACTTTACTGTACATCACTGTAAACATCATGAGGGCGAAACCCTGGTTTTGTTTCCAGTTCTGAGAGTGTAACATGTGTACAACAACATTCACAGGTATCTGCGGGATGGACGATATATATTTTTTAACGCCCAAGAATACTTGACACTTCACCGACTTCACCCCGCAGAAATGTAAGAACATGCTGGGCTAGATGACTTTCACTCGCCAACACTTCAATTCACATCAGTTTTTTACATTGGTGAAATCCCAAACTTGTTTGGTTGAACACTGAATGCAACTATTTGCTTTAAATCTGACCAGAGACCCAATTCACCCCACCTCACAGACCCAAAAACCAGGCTCTACGTCGGCTTCCTGGATCACACCGCAGCAAGAGAGGCTGCAGCTGCAGCCCTCCAGGCAACTTGGTTGCTGAGGAACAAGAATCGCTGACAGTGAGCCGTCTTGAGCATGTGGATTTAACCCCAAGAATTACAATTTTCTTTGTCTTTTCCAGCAAGCTACTTGCATGTGGTTGGTAAATTTACCACAATAAATAGGGTTGTCTCAAAGTGGTGGATACCACTGATACCAGAATTTAATGGTCATTAGAGGCATTTTCATGGAGAACAGTGAAAATGGTGAGACACTGCCAGGTGTGCCACCCTTTGAAGCTGGATGAGGAGATGGTCCATCCTACCTGGGATAAACCCTACCGGGGATACCTGGCATTTCAAAAAGGCCATGGTTGCGGGACTCATAGAAAGTTCGAAAAAAAAGCGTTCCTGTTTGGGAATTCGCAATTTTCAGATACTTGGGTGACCCGGTGACCCACTTATATGTCGGATATAGGCTATAGGTGAAAGATTTGGATATTATCGGGCTAGAAACATCTAGAGACCATTTATTGAGCTCTCACTAGTTTTCTGGATCATGCCATGTATGGTCTTAGCATATTGGGGGAGAGTTATGCCAATTGAAACTACCCAGTCAGTAAGTGGGATATTCACCTAGTGCCCGGTGAATGGCCTCACTGTTGCAGGTCCATGTAAGTCATGTGTAAATGGATCACTTTCCATTGCAAGAGATGTACTGGGAAGAGAACATTGTTTCATTCAGAAACCGGAGATACCGGAGATGGTCTCTCTCAAAACTTCCCAACTTTTCCCAACTTCGAAACCAAACACAATCTTTCAGTCATTTTACCCACCTCAGTAGTATAGTAGTGATAATCCAAAATCTGAACCCGTTGGTAAACTGAGTCATTGGGATTTTCTGGAGACATAACATGGCTTACAAAAAAACGTAGTAAATCTGGGCCCAGTTCCACTGGAACAACTGGATTTTTTGAACCATAGTTATAGGGGCTGGGGGTTCAAATGGGTATGAGTCACAATTGGGTACCCCAAAACTTAGATGGTTAATACATGTTAATACATGTTAATACTAAAAAAATACTAGAAAAAAATAGAACCTCTGGTCCCTTAAGTCTTAGATGTCCCGTTCCCAAATCCCGCCATGTTACATCAATATGTTACATATGTTATAGCCATGTTACAATATGTTGCCATACAATCAATGGGAATTTCAGGATCCTAAAATGGAGATACCTACCATATATAAGGCCTATGTAAGGCCTATGTAAGGGGATATACCCCCAAAATATGGCCTTATATGGTACAGTACCTCCATTTTAGGATCCTGGAATTCCCATTGATACAAATCCCATGGCGATTGCAGGACGGCGACTCCTCCGTGGCCGTCTCCGCCGCCAGCCGCGCCCGGCGCGGCGACCGCTCCGCGGGCTCGCGGCGGGCGCCCAGCGCCTCGAGGCGCCACGGCGCGCGAATCGGCGCGTTCCAGCGACTCCACGGCGGCCACGGGGCCAGGCCAGGAAGAATCGTTGAAGGTATCTTAATTTATCTTAATGATTAATGATTCATGTATCTTACTGTAGATTATCATTATTAATATACATAAATAGAGTCATTAATATTAATGATTATCATTAATGATATTAATGGTATTATTAATGATTATCATTAATGAGTGTTAATATATACCATTTTGGTCATGTATCATTATTTTTTTCAGAATCGTTAATTATTTTGGTAAGGTATTGAATTGGTCATGTATCTTACTGTAGATTATCATTAATGAATATTAATGTATATATTACTATATATTACTGTAGATGATATCACTCACATTGAGAGTTAATGACATATCGATACTTGCTGACTTATATTGACTTGTGATATTTTGTATGCAATGATAATCATATGTGAACATGAGGGGATGGGATGGGAGAATATGGGAGGCCAACATGAAGCAAAGACGGTGATTGTCGATCTATATATGTTTTCAGACACAAACATGGGATCAAACGAGGAAACAACCCTGAGACCAGAACGTAGTCATGTTGGACAAAATAGCACCAATCACAAAGTATTAAACAGGAATTGAGAACAGTAATTGATATGCCCTGATTACAGTGATTGACTTATTGACTTATTGACTTATTGATATTTAAGTGATATTTAAGCAAGTTAAGTTAACCAATCTCTGGCAGGGATGATGTGCTCCAGGTGTGTCCCACCGCGGACCTCGGATCTCAGTGCCCAAGTTGGTGTTGCCTAAGAGGCGCGGCTGGCCACTTCGGCAGGGATGGTGAGGCATCAGTCAGCACAAACGGCTTCAAATGATCATTCAACATAGAAGTGACATGAAGTGACTAAAGGAAAAAAAATGCAACACTATATGCAACAATATGTGGTTTTGGTCATTGTGTGATGGTGGTTTCATACTTCCAGGTTAGCTGGTTGGAGGGTATTTGAAATTTACAAATGTCAGAGATGGCGTCAATGTTCAAAATTAGTTCAAAGTGCAGAACATGCTACTGTATAACATGCTATAACCATAGAGTGAACAGACCACGATTATCACGAGGATGCCTGGCATGTTGAGATAGTCACTAACCTTTATAAATTTATATATATATATATATAGTTGCTATTGGTTTGGTCTATCTGATTCCTGCTGAACTTACACAAACCCCGCCAACGCCCTGTGAGGCTTCAAGATGGATCAGACCCATCGGGGCGACCTTTGGCTCCTTGGCTGAAGTTCTGGTTGGTGATATATCTACCATCAAAACCATAGTTAACCATAGTTGACCATAGTTCACCATAGTTAACCATACTTAACCATATGGTTGCTGTTGTTCTATATTTGTTCACCCATCTCAGCGACAGGATTGACACAATCATGAACCTTCAGGATCCCTTCGGACCTTTGTGCACCTTGAAAATCTGACATGGACTCCTTCCTGGAACTAAGAAAGTGGGGATGAATGATATGAATGGGGATGGAACTTCATTAAGTATGATAGTTGTCACGAACTGTCTATGCTTATCCTGGTTTCCCGAATTATCTCCCAAGGTCCCAAGGTGTTTGTTAGCACAGCATTCAGCGGTGTCAAGGATAGCCGGCAGCGCAAGACCCGGGAAGCCCTGGAAAAGTTGACGGCCGTCTATTCGGTGCCTGAGCTACAGATGGCTCCTTGAGGTTGTTACAGGGATCCATTTTTTGGCTGGTCAAAAGAGATGGAGAAACCATACGTGTCCAGAGGCCAGGAAAACCATCAAACAATGTTTCTATGTTTAACCCTTGGATGTGATTCAAGATATTTCAAGATGTGGTTGAATGATGTTGAATGTAGTTGTACCTGGAAGTTTCCACAGGTGCCAATAAGCCGGTCCTGTCCATCCTTATGCAGTGGCAAGCGGGCAGGCCGCCTATGGGGCTGGAGATGGCAAGTAGGAGCACAACGAAAATCATCATTTGGCCATCATGAAATTAGGGATGTAACAATAGTTATATACTATATATAACTATCATTATTATATACTATATAGCTATCATTAACTGTCAATGGGGATTTAACCATAGTTTAACCATAGTTGATAGTTATATAGTATATAGTTAGTCAGGAGTCAGGATTCAGGATCCAACCGGCCAACGCCTTCCCATGCCTGACGGATAAAGGTCATGGTTCTGATTGGCACATGGGTACTGGTCAAGTATGGACCCAAATGTGGCACCAACCACCTACAATTCCACATTTTTTTTGAAATTATTTGACACTATTGTTCGTGCATTCAACATGCATTAAAGGCATGTTTAAAATGGTACTATACTGGTTTTCAACCATCCACACAATAATGGTGGTTCACCAATAACTTATATTTGTTAAACCATGTTAAACCAATCATTCATAATCAATGATGGGTATTTAATATGATCTAATCCCAATCATTAACAATAACCTACCTCTATTCATGTGTGCTTCCTTAAACCATCCACCCATGGCCGCAGGCGGTGCGGCTTGCGAGGCCCAGAATGGCCAGGAGGTGGGCCATATGAGAAATCAGCGATAGAAATTGGATGACAATGGTGGTGATCCCCATTGGAGATATTCAAAGATACAACACTTCAAATTATGTTAAACAAATGGATTGAGAGATGATGATTGATCACCGAGATATTTACTGTATATATCATATATTTATCCAAAGATACAAACACTTCAAATTCTGTTAAACAGATGGATTGAGAGATGATGATAGCCATTGATCGCCTTGATTGAAACACGGCAATGGCCCATGGCCACTACCCCCTGGGGGCCCTGGCTCCGCTCGCCAGAAGCGTCCGCCCCGGCCGCCTCTGCCAGTACCGCCAAAGGAGCGTTTGGTGTGAGCCTCAGCGAATCGATGCCGTTCCTCGCGTCTGTTTGGGGATAGATTGCTATCAAACCCATAGGATCCATGTATGCTATATATGGTAACATTTACCATCAATATACCCCCAATGTTAGCATATATACCATACATGGATCCTATGGGAAACAGATTCAAGACCTTCTTTATCTACTTGTGAATGTTGTGAAATGATCCCTTTGATTTCTTTTTATGGAATTGTTGGATGAATTGGATTGATTTGGTGGAATGCTTACAAGCAATTGAAACCACATCAATTGAATGAGTGCCGGAATGATTGCGGTGACAAGCAGGAAAGCCTTTTAGGCATGACTTAGGCGTGACTTTTGGAAACAGCGGTGACAATGGGGGAAGCCCCGTAGGCATGACTTAGGCGTGACTTTCTGTTTTGCCTGTAACAGCTGAGAAGATCCGACTTCTCCCAGTCGCTAGTTCTATGCCTGTGACCATCGCCGCTACTCAGGTGAACAAACCCACCACTGAAGCAACCAGGTGAGCAGCGGCAAGGGGAGTCAGCAGATAGGGTCACATACAGTTGGACACACTATAGTAATCTACAGGTTACAGTATAGAACCCACGGTACTCTGCTTTTTCATCTTGCCTTACTTGGGAATCTTGGTCATTCGGAAGACATCCAGTCAAAAAATGCCCTTGTGTCCTGCAGGGTGAGGAGCGAACAGGCTTTGGACAAAGAGCGACATTTGCAGCGGAGGTGCCGTCCGATTCTTTTGCGGGCTTTCCCCGGAACGGAATCTTTTAGGGATGGGTGGCTGCATGGAATTGTATCGCGCCAATGAGCCTGTTTTGAATGTGAATAGACTTGGAACGGCGTCGTATTTTTGCTTTCGAATTTTCAGATGGAGTCACTGACAACATGCGAAGGTTCCCCTATGTTCCGCTGGGATACTGGATTGGAACATGTTAGCAACCAGGCTTTCCGCTGAACATGTTCATGATGGGGGTCCATCTTAATTTTCGGCAAGGATATCAAGTGGTTCATCCTAATTACTGAGTAGGTCACAACCCCAGATTTAAGTGGAGGAGCCCTGCTAAGACCACTGTGTAATCAAGTGTTCTTATCTATTGATTGAGCACGATGAACCGCCAAGTATCTATTCTTGGGTGTAAACCAAGCCCTCATGGTGTTTTTGTCGAAAGGCCAGAAGCTAAGTTGCAGCCTTTGAGCTCCAATCCAAAGAAGGCACCAATGTGCTGGTGGTTTTTGAGGAGAAACGTATATCGAACAGTTTGGATCTGTTCAACGGGTACCAAATGGATCCAAATGGTACCAGGCTGGAAAAAATCAGGCGGATATTCTGGGTCAACCATTGTTGGGCAGGTGTCTTTCGAGATTTCATACCCAGGATATGGGGTCTGGTTCAAAATACTGGTACCCAGGTTTTCACCTCAGAATGTCTGGCAGAATGGAACTCATCCTGCCAGATGATTGGTTTGGTATCCTGACCAGGTTGTGTTTTGACCACGGCACAGGGGTCAAAATCAGGGTCATTTTGGTCCCATGTTTGGGTCATGTGGTAAACTTTACAATCAGAAAGCCGTCATTTGGAGATGGTTGGAATAGCCATCTTTGGTGATTTTGGGGATGGTTTATGGATGGAAACATGGCACGGGCTTCACCCAATTTTTTAAGAAGTCTTCAGGAAAAGGCCTATGGGCCCTCCCTGGGAGATGAGCTTCGTGTGCGGGGTGAGCTAGGCCTGGCACCATCTCCTGTGATCCTTGGTGTCCCAATCTAAAGATATATAGTTTTGATGGGAAACATGATGATCCACCATGGGTTTTGGGGTCCAAAACCCTAATTTGTTGGACAAACCCATATCCTCACAACCTAGCATGGAACATCGTGCAGCCTGAAAATGATTTCAAATATTGAATGATTACTTTAGACCAAATCTTTTACAAAGATTTGGCTTTTGTGGGAGACTCCACGGGTGAATGTTTCATTCATTCCAAGTTTAAACCATATTGGCCAATCTTTCTTCGCGCGATGGGTTGAACAATCTTGAGATACGACCCAGATCAGGATGTATCGCGTACGTCATGACCCTACAAGGCTAGTAAATTCTGTTCTAAGAGGGTGAATGGGTGATATTGTCAGGTGTTTTGGAAGGTTCGCCTATGCGAATGGATTGGGTCGAAGATTTTTGAGAGGGGACCATGAATTATATGTGAACTAAGATGAACTAAGTACCTTTGTTCCCTTGTAGACTGAAGTTGATCGATCCTCCGTCCCAGGAAAACTCTTATCTTGGTCGACTTGATGGCCATGGCCTGAGTCTGGGTCGCTGAAACCTGGTCAATTCGAGCTGATCTAAAGTGGCAACACGAAATTACCAGTTTAGTTGTAAAGATTGCAATATTCAATCATATTCAAATCTATATTCAATCAATTTCAATATCATATATCATATATTTATATATATATACATGGGGGGATTTACATTGCAACGGTTGATTATCAGAAGGTAATCAAAACATGGGTCAACACAGAGCTTATACCATGCAGGTTGCCATCGCCATGGCTGACTGGCGGCTCTAAGCTGTGCCACAGTGAATGCACTTCTCTAGTGCGAGGAAAATCACGACTATTCTTTTGCACTCTTGTTGCTCTATTGAAATATCATAAAACATCCATTTGGCCAAGGAGCAGAAATACAGACTATGAAAGGTATATGGTATACTTCGTGGGTATGGGTCACAATTCTTGGACCCCAAAGTGGCTGCTCTAAAGATCTTTAAACACGCCGAACATGAAAAAGCGTGTGGTTCCACTGGTACCCTCGATGTGGTCCATATAGGAACATTTCCAACCACGCCTTGTGTTTCCAGACTTTGGATTCATTTAAGCGTCGCCGGCTGAGGCTGTTTCCATGCCAAAATGTTGACGCGCTCTCTGACGGGACAATGGCCCCCAGCTGCTTACTGTAGGCAAGTTTCTCACCAATGGTAGATGTTTTTGTATGTTTTTGTTATTGCCCATCAAGACACCATTCAGTGAAACTCTCAAAGTCCTTTGCTCCAATGATTTATCCAGCAAACTACCATCTATAGTTGGACTCAACAAAAACTCCGATCGCCAAAATATCGCTGGGGGTCCCTGTAGCCGGAATTCCGTGGCTGGCAGTGTAAAAAACTGTTACCATTTGCGTCGATAATATAACACCGAAAGAAATGCCCAAGATAGGAAAAAGGGAACACCCATGTAATGTCTATTATATATAATATATACACATAACATACAATATACATAAAATGATAGACTGTACATAAAATATGTGTATATATATATATATGATCATTTAACATACATTACATTACATTACATTACAACATTATATGATCATTTAACATACATTACATTACATTACATTACATTACATTACATTACAGTACAGTACAGTACAGTACAGTACATACATACATACATGTTTAAGATTTATTATGTATTTATGTATTTATGTATTATATGATATATATGTATATATGTACATATGTAGATTACAACAAAATCTACAGTGTGTCCAAACAACATTGAGAATCACTGAGAGATAGCATCAGCAATCGAGGGTAATCTAAGTGTGTCTAAATCTCCAAATTGTCGAGAAACACTAAAGTCCGACACGTGGATTTCTGTCTATACCCAGTTCTGCAGAGATACGGGAATTTTCCTGGCATTGATGATAAAGACCAACACTCATTGTTATTTTTCTCTCTGGCAGTGCCAGTCATGGCTTCCCAATGATTTTCTGAGCTGCGATTCCTGCCGCAGCAGCAAGGAAGCGCAGACCCTTAGGTCATGATCCATGTGCTCCATGGCGTGGTGCAAATATATTTACCTACATTTACCTACAACACCTTTCAAGACTTGGTCAAGTTGCTTGAAATGTAATGTGAGTGGTAAATATTCCATAAATGGAACACTTGGGATTAGTGGCAGCTCTCTCTGAGAGAGATTCTGTCCGCCGCCATTGCTATCGCAGACGTTTTGAGAGAAAAACACAGTTGCGCGGACCAGCAACAAACATCAGGAATTGTTGAAAGGAAAAACACGCTGGGAAACCCGTATAATTACATAGTGTCTAAAACACATGTAAACACTGGTTTCCTGCAGATTTTAAATTAAACCAATCCTTGTTTGTAAGAGTTGAGGTTGAGATCACCCTTGCGCTGAAGGAAGGCTGCTGGCAGTAAGGCAGTAATATGCATTTTGGTTGCTGGGAACATGGGAGTTTGTCGGGTGGTTCCTTGCATTAGCGTTAGCGTTAGCTACTCCGCCATTGATTCACTGAAGCCAAAGAGAGCCGCGCGTTTTCAGCCTCAGGAAATCTGAAGAGAAAAGCCATGAAGAACAAGAGCCTATGTAAGGTGCATCATCAACAAGCTTTCCTGTCCAAGCACTGCTACAGAGTCATTTTGGACTACGGCTTACAATTGAGTTCTAGAAACCCACATCCATGTAGCCCTGAGATGACTCTTGACACGGGGAAAAAGGCAACACATGGCAACACCACCAGGGCCACTTTTTCCGCTCTCACTGGAAAGCAACGAAAAGAAGGGCTACCGAGATCTCCAACTTTACGAGGTTACCAGGTGATGTTAGCCCCAAGAAATGAAGTCACATGTGCCTTCAATCGAACTCCATCACACAACGACTGCTGAACCATGTCGGAGCCATCCATTCTCCATGGCGCTGGGATGTGGTCCTGCTGTGCCGAAGCTGTGCTTTGGCGAAGATGCCTGTGAGTTTGCATCCAACAGGGTGCCAGCCACCGGGTCCAGTAACGCAATGCATTGATCAGTGGCCGGCTGGAACTGGTGCCTAATGCCACAAAAGGAGGAGCACCACCACAAAACGGGAGTATTTGCATTGTCCCAAACTGACCCCCAAAAAAATCCCCAGATGTTCTGCTTCATTCTAACACGTTCCTGTATCAGAAAGGGCAGGGATGCAGGGCCACCAATCAAGGCTTGTGCCTAGCAGCAGCGATAAAGTGATTGTTCCAATCCACGGCATGGTGGTCAGAATTTGTGGGCTCAAGATCTTGCCAAGAACCAACACACAATGTAACTGTTGGGTATCCTGCTGCCTACAACCAAGAAACCAATAGAAACGACAGCATTGTAAGATCCAGTCTTCATTCTATAACCATTTTCGAGTGTGTTCACTTTGAAACCAGACTTCATCTTGTTCTCCATCTTGAAACTGGACACCTCATGTTATCTCGGTTAAATCGATGGTTTCGCCTCAGGATGGATTCATCTATTGCCTTCCAAGCCACGCACAGCAGATCTTGCGCGTGGGGCCTGGCGGCTCCGAGCTTTGGGGCCCCGACTTTGGAGCTGAGACCTGGAAGTGGACGACCTGTCTGCTGGGCCCTGAGGGGGCCATCTGGGGCATCCCTGGTATCTCGATCCGATGGAAAAGTGGCATGTTTGAACGGATCTCACACCTACACCATTGGGATTTTTGTGGGGCATCATTGATTTTGTATATTTTTTGCAACTTATTTTGCATTAGTCAGGTGTCGATGGTTTTTGTCAGGATTCATGATGCAAGCGGATCGAGATTTTCATGACAGTGGTCCTCAGGATTGTATTTGGAAGATCCAGCCTGGCACGCAAAACAATACTGCAACTTTTGTTTTTTTGAGATATTGTCTTTTGATCATTTGCAAATCATTGTTTGCTTCAGACAACATGCGGGCATCAATGAAGATCAAAGCTGATGCCGCCCCAGCCCTGCCAATGGTACGTCACTGCGCTACACTCATGTAACACACCTTGAACTGTACCATTGAGTCGACCCCCCCGAAGAGAAAGTAACAAAGGTACGAACATGGCAGTGCACAGTTACCGGTGTTTTCAGTGACTACTAGTAGGGGGTCGAGTGACCCTAAACTGGGGGTTATAAAATGTTGTAAAGTCAAGTTGAAAAATCTGAATGATTACCCCATGGTTGTTCTCATAGTTGACTTCCTTATCAACATTGATCAACCAGCTGAGGCAACGCACCCCGAGTCCTGTGCATCTCTGGGGGACGAGCAGAATTAGCTGCTGGGACCTGGGACATCATGCTAAAATCTGCTAAAAAATGGAAAAGACAATGAAATTTCATGAAATTGGGTTTGTGGTTTTGAATAGATTCTGAATATTTGGAACTTTCCAATGATAAGGGACCAAGATTGATTTGGCGGCACGAACCAGATTGAGATGACTTCGGCAGATATCTCGTAGGGGCATGGAATTTCAAGAAATTGAGGGTAGATTTCAGGCTGTGTTGTCCCAACAAAAATGCCTTTGTTGGCCCAAAAAGGTACCAACCTTCAAACCGAAGAAGAAGAAGAAGAAGAAGAAGAAGAAAAAGAAGAGGAGGGCACACAGCAAGTCCCTACAAAATGTGGAGAGTGACGACAGGAACACTGGCAGTTTGATGTGTTTATTGATGTTCATCTGGCTATGGCTCCAATGGCTCACATCTATTGATGCAAAATGGATGGTTTAGGACTATAGGATTAGAATCATGACCAGTTTTGTGCTGATTTTGAGGGTCCACTGGCACGAAACATTTGGACCATACCCACCTGCGATGCCAACCACATAGCACCTGATTCTGCTTAGGTTGGTCCTCCAATGGACGGGACGCACAAGTGGCACGCCGCAGTTCTGGCTGCAGATGGCTGTCACTTGGATCACCATGGGATGACTGATGACTATTCCAAGCCGTGGGGATCATTGGTCCCTCCATGGTCCCACCATGGCAATCTCCATGGCCGTCTCCAAAATAAGTTTCCATCATGTTCCATCCTTCCATCCACATGGCCACCTTCTCGTAGTCAAATCAAGGGGAAATCTCTGTGAACCAGACAAGTTGGAGATCTTTGCCACGTCAATTGACAACGCTTTGACCCCCTGTCTGGCCCTGTCTCCCTGTCCCCCAACCGAGGTATCTACGCCCCGCCATGCGATTGTGGGCAAGTACTCCGATCCTTGGTTGACACCGTAGATGGCCATTGTCTTGTCCCCGTGTTTCAAGCAGGTGGTGGGCCATTTTGATAACCAATTTCAATGGACAACTATGACTAAAGATACTGATATTCACTTTGTATGCGATCCTGACAATCTGACATATCCCTACTATTTGGTGAGTTGGCTTCGCGTTAACATGCCTTAGCCAATTTTCCTGGCGAGCTTCCTGCCAACCCTACCCAAGTTTTAGCTGAACGACTGAGGTATCGATTGCGGAAGGCGTCATGTGTCGTTGATAGGACCTATCATGGGTGGCGCGGGCAAGTATGCAGCATGTGCATTGGCAGCCAATGGGCAGCTTGCCTAGTTGGTTGGGTTTGTGCCGGCAACCATGGTCGGGATCATTTTCCCATCGACTCATAGTGGAGAAACCATGAAAGCATGAAATTGGGGCCTTATAGGACTTGAGGGAAACTAGGTTGGCCGTTTTGTGTGTAAACACCATTCAACGGGGACGATGACCGGCTTGGGTTTATATTATATTGTTGAAGCATGTTGACTTGAAACCACAGGTCGGGAGATCTACAATTTGGTAACTAACTAGATCTAACTAGGCAATGGAACAGGCTCCTGTCATTCAACTTACTGGGCTGACTTCTGCGTCCTAGTGATATATACCCCCAGGGGAAGTTCATCGAGTTCAGGGATGAATGCTCACAACGACATGCCCCGGTCGTAGATTGTAGTGGTTTCCCAAGTCAAATGGTGGTTGACTGACTGTAGCCAAACAGAGAGTGGGTACATTAGGAGCAAAGAGTATATATAAACCATTCGATTTTCCAGCTTGTTCCATAGCCACTTGGTTTTGGATGTCTCAGATGGGGTCAATTCACAAAATCACCGAGGTCTTTTTGCTGCTTTCCTCCAGCCTGCCCAGGTACATCTATTGTCCTCCCAACCATGCAGCAAGTGTCTTGCGCATCTCTCCAAACACCAAGCAGGTGGAGATGATAGGCGGGGGGAAATTGCCAAATGGATAGGGCATTGGATCATGGATGATGTATCCTCACTAGGTCTAGTGATGTCTAGTGCTTGGTGGTGGTTTTATTTTTGGGTCATCTTTTTGGATCTACCTGCTTTGGAGCCTGGAACATCTTGGAATCAGCTTTTGGAGAGGTGCCAACAAAAGAGGTGCCAACAAAGGAGGTGCCAACAAAGATACACCATGATACACCTACTTGGTGTATTGGCCACGTTCAATTGCACCAGTCATTTTTCTCCAAGATGAACCAGAGTAACAAGACTTCACCCACTATCGTAATCCCCCAAAAGATATTACAGGTTCCTTCCCCTTTTTTCCTGAAACACCCAGCACAAATATCAAATAATGTCAATCCTGGATTCATAAACCATCATAAACCCGTAGGCTGTTGAATTGGGGGGGTACCATTTAAGTTTCAGATATCACTTGGGGAGTAGCCCCCTTAAACCACCAAAACACCTGCCACGGCACCAAGTCATCTCTCCAGGGCCCGACCTCCGCTTCGGCGGCGGGGGCGGCTACGTGGCAGCCGTCCGGGGCACGGACGGCCACGTCTACTGCCCGCCCTTCAGCGCTACGCGGGTCCTCAGGATTTGTGCCTTTGGCATGCGGGAAACCCAAGGATAAAACCTACCGTTTGGGTCATTTTTGTTTTTTGAAACCCATAACTTGGTGATTTTGTGGAACACATTTATGTTGGTCTTGGGGATGGTTTATTGTTGGGTTTAATTACTTACTTTAGATCATTTTAATCTATAATGATATCATATCGTCTAAATTGGCTTTACATCCAAAAATTCTCCGATTTTCGTTGGTGGGGATACTTTTGGATATGAACCAACCAACAAAAACAGGTGCTATTCCACAGAAAACGTGGCCCCCCCGATGGCCCAGGTGATCCAGAGGTGGATCTCGTGGGTCCGGAGATGAACTGGATGGCACACCAGTGGCGCTGCGCCCTGCGGAGCGAGGTGGATGGCTGTATTTACGCCGTGCCATGCAACGCCAGCAGGTGGGGAATGTGGATGGGAAAGTGGATGGGAAGGTTTGATGAAGATTGATGAAGTACTTGTAAACTGTGGATGTGTGTTTCTATTGGCATGTTGGGTTATGTTTGAGGGTAAACAAAACAACACCTCTCAATATGTTTTTCAGCAAATCATCCATTATGAAGACTCTTCTAGCCAGCCTTGGCACTGAAGTGTTGTTTCTCAATGTTCCTCATTGATGGACAGCCTGGATAGTCTCTTCTTTTCTGCTATGCACTAGTTACAATAGTTGAAGGCACATGAAGGCACCATTCTCTACCATTTCTTCCCAGAGCAGTTTCAAGATTCATTGGAAATCCATGGATTTCCTTCCGCCCAAAACCATCCCCTGGCCCCAAGCCCAGTCGTGTCGTCCCAGGGTCCTGAAGATCGATCCGTCTGGTGCAGTCTCCATGGTGGGCCCCGAGTTTCCCTGCGCGCCCGCGCCGGAGGGCATCGAGAAGTGGCGCAGCTGCTGTGAGGTGGATGGTACCTTGGAATATCAAGTAAATATCAAGAAAATCAGCTCAGGGGATGCATTTTCCGTGTCAGTGCTGTGCATTTATTGTACATTTACAGTAATATCTAGTCTGTATAGTGATGTAAATATGAGCTGTCCCGAAAGATGGGAATGTTGGGAATTCTGGCGATGGGACGATGGGACAATCTTTAGCCATCTCTAAGGAGACAGCTTTGATTTATTGCATGAAAGGGGGATGCAACCAATCGATATACAAAAATACACAAAAACGCAATCGAAAACCACTTAAAAAGCAGACATAATTGATCATATTAATTGATCATTTATTGTTGCTCTCAGCTATACAGTTTTATGGCTCGATGTAGGGAGGTGGCTATACTTTTGATTCACGGCATGGTGGCAGAGTTCAAACCTGTCAGAAACGCGACAAGCAACTTCTTGGCTGGAAACATCAAGTCTGCAGAACCGGTTTCTGCTTTGAAAAATGGCTACGTATTCTTTTCCACCCGTACTTGAGAAGATTGTCTTGATCAATCGTTGCAGAGATAGAAGATTGGGCATGGAATTGCAATGCGTGAGATGTTTCAGTCCCATTCAGCAAAAATTGCCTTGGCCAACACCCACTGAGGCTGCATTTACGCAATCCCTTCTCATGCCAAGTCAGATCCTTAGCGGGCTCTTGAATGGTCATCCATGATTTCTGCTTTGCCAAAACATGCTGAGGGTCCTGTTTGGTACTCAAAAATGACTGGCCCGAATGTCCTAATTGAGTGCAGGGGCCAAATAGCCCAGATATGTCAAGTGTTGCTCATGATCCCGTTTTTGAGTGTCTCTCAGTGAAAATCTCAAGATCCCCAAGATCCCCAAGGCCCCAAAGGGTCTTCAACAGGCCCAACTGTTAAGCCCCGGCATGACCCATGGCATCCCATGGCATCCACTTCGTCGGAGGCAGATTCTGCGCATCAAAACCGGCGCTGCAGCGCTGGAGTCGCCGAGCTTCGAGCAGCTGGAAGCGCAGAAGTTGGCGCTCTCAGAGCATGAGGCCGGATGGGCGATGGAGCTGAGGGGCTATGGAGATGGTGTTTGAAGAGTATATGTCTAACGGGGGCCAAAATACTTGTAGATGGTAGACATTGAATGACATGAATATTGAGGACATAGAGAGACCTAAGCAACATCAATATAAACCCAACTATTCTTCCTAGGGGACTCCTCATTACCCTATCACTGGGTTGCCACTCCAGCGCCTCAGTGCCTCAGGAGACTCGTTTGAGAGCTGAAGCAGCTGCAAGGGCACAGGACATGTGACATGGTTCTTCGACCACCCGTGGAAATTGTGTTTTTTTGGGGGTATTGCATTGGTATGGCAAGTACTGCGGGTTGAAGCACTGCGCTTCAGAGTGCCCTTGTCACACTTTTGTCACAAACAAGACGGTGGGCACAGGATGATGTATGTACAGTCTGTTCCGCAATGAATTTCCAGGAACGGCAAATTCACAGATCTAGGATCTCAACCTAAGCTTTGGTTCTGTTCAATCAAACTTTGGCAAGACTTCGATAAACAGAAGCATCAGAAATCAGTGGTTTGGTTTGTTAGCCCCTGCTATGGTGACCCCTCTATGCATTTGAGTAAACCTTGTTTTGTGATGTAAGCCCTGCCGCCCAATGCCACCCGGTGCAACTCTTCCGTTGAACAAAATTCCAATGTTTTGCCATCACAAATGGACGTTTCCAGGTGGGATGTTTAGAGGACCATCAAGAACGATATGCCGATATGCGATTCAAAATCATATTCATATAACATCATATAACCCACTCATAAATGGTATATGTTCATATGTTATGTTCCAGCTCTGGTTGATAATTTCAACAGATGATTGCCAGGATGCAGGCAGTTCGCAGGAGGAGGACGATGACGACGAGGTGCCAAGGGTGATTTCCCATTCATTGAGAATACTGATCACTGGGACCATGTAGGACCATTGAGATGTATTGATATTCTATTGTTCCATAATTAGAATGGTAATAAAATGTAATAAGGATTCAGTTTGGGGGAAATCCATTTATATAAATCTCTACCAACAATGAGTCTAGGAATGTCTAGGAGGACTCCTATTCCTTCGCTGGATTTGGTTTAAAAATGGCCTGAAAAGCATCGAAAAAACACCTGGACCATGCGGAGATTCGCCTTGAGGAGGAAAACAGCGATGAGGATGTGGAAGATTGGCCCGAAGAGGCGCTGTTGGGTGGTTTCAAACATGGTCAGCATCCCTAAGAATGGGGAAATGATCCCGGTTTTGAAGATGCTTGTTAGGATGGCTCTACCACTGACGGGGTATTGAATCCGGGTATTCTTTCTTTGGGAACCATATGATTTCTGGGGGCTCAGAGTATAAACTGTAAGACCCCCAAAAATACCAACAGCTGGTCCTTTCAAAGATACTCCGACTGCATTGTTGCGTATCCAGCTATCATCAGCTATCCATGTTTTGGAAATGACTTTGGACCCATCACATCCGCAGGAATGCGATGGTGTGTCGTTGTGGGGTCCGACCCTGGGACAGCGCTGGACACGCAAAAACAAGTTCCGCAGCGCCCTTGCAGGCGCGGTGCATGGAAATCTTATGGGAAGTCCCCATTCAAAATTGGAGGTTCAAATGGGAAATCATCATAAATCATCCATGATTGGGGGATTTAACAGCCATCAGCAAGCCATCTTTGATTACCGGAGGGTATGTCCATCGGGAAAACCCTTGAAGGGTTTGATGAGGACCGAGCCCGGGCATGCTGGTGGCTCCACCCTACCACTGTGGGCAGCTGCTGGCCGTGAACGTTGGCGCCGGTGCCGTGGCTGGGGGAAGCTATTGGTTTCCTGATGTTTCCTGCATGCTTTTCTCATGGTTTCCCCACGGTTTTACCAAGGTTTCCATTCCAAATCCAGGTGGCTGCTCGCAACCCTCAAAGTTTTACACTAAAAAACTGTTGTTTTGAGATCTTATTCGTGATGATATCGGTGGGCAAAGTCTTGCCATCACAGTCACGGGTATGTCACCCGCTGCCTTAGCAATTCCGCTTTGCTGTATCTTCCTGTGCAAGAATCATTGACCAAATTGAAAACAAATGCGCCACTCCCAGTGAACTGTTGGTTTGCATCATGATCATCATGCTTGATTTGGTTCCATCCATTTCATCCAGTTTCAATGTTTTGTTTCTCTCATGTGTTTTGTCACTTGGTTTTCCAGCAAGTCACACATCTCATGTTTTTATTTCTCCAAACCATATTTCTCCCTTGCAATCCCAATTCTTTTGCCGTCGCGCTTTTTATATTTTCTGCTTCCCTTGCAAATACATTCAACATCCCATGTGTTTCTTTTCTTCCCGCCAAGTTCCTAGCAGAAACATCCCTGGTTGGTGGTTTTCAGGACTCGAAATTGCCATGTTCCATTCCCTGATGGTCGCCAACACAAATCTTTATTTTCCAGGACAGCTTTACAACGCGTTATATAGAGGGTGAAGAAACGTATGCTAGAAAACCAAAGGTTACAGTACCCGTAAAAGGGCTCTGCTGAAACCATTTCAACCAGCAACGATGATGGTTTTTCAGGATGTTATAGGTGATATGGAGGATGGTTTCCGCCTCAATTTCACCGATTTTCCGAATGTTTGGGTCAAAACCCTGGTACTCTGGCGAACATCAGAACAGCTAGGATTTATGGATGGTTCATCCGATTCATCCCTCAAAAAAAAGTGTAAAATCAATGAACATCATAGGTATCCTGATAATAATCCCGGCAAAACCCTGGAAAATCCCAGGTATAAACTTGATATGTGCTGATTCTATCATCAGGTGATGAAGCCGTTCAGTTGCTGGGAGATGCTCCTCCGAAGCCGCCCAAGACGGGTTGCCCAGCCCATGGGAAAAATGGCAGGGTTGGCAGTTGGACATGGTGAAAATCTTCCAATATCCCTGAGACGGTTCCACAATTTGAAAAAAAACAAATGAGTTTCTGGCTTTTGCTTTCCTCAATCAAGTGAACATGTTTTTTTTGTTCAGCATCCAAATGATGCACGCACACATCCACCAAAAAGACATGTATTATTTGTGTGCTCCATGGAAAAACATGTTCCTGGCATTCGCTGCCTCGCCTTGGGTGCAGGAAAGTCTTTATCCCATTGCCAGAGGAGGACTGGCAAGGGCCCAGCAGCTGGTAACCCTCATGGCAGATCTGACCATAAATGAGGGTTGATAGTGGTGGAACCTGCTGGAAGCACAGCAACAGCCTTGTCAAACTCTCCTTGGGGATTATTCCTTGTAGATCATCATCCAGATACATTTTTTTTCTTTGCACACGATTCCCTCGGACTGCCTCAGTTGCACCTTGTTGTGCTGATGATTTCTGAGCCTGCGACCTCCGAAACCTGCAGGATGAGTGATGAGTGATGAGTGAGGTGTCACAGGCACGGGTTGTGTCCCAGGATTGGACCCATCAAATCCAGCACACTCCACATGACCGAAGTGTACCAAAAAAGAACGGTATCCAAGATGGGGCGCTACCTAATGGCACCTGATGGCTTGGATCTCTGGACATACCGGACATACCCTTTTGCCCAATGTTTAGCGGGCTGTGCAGCCTCCAAAAAGAATGAAATAGCAGTGTCATAGCAGAGCACAGTTGTGGAATCCCTTCCTCCGTTCGCGCAAAAGGCGTGGACCTAGAGGACAAAGACGATGGTTCCGAAGTTTCAAGCTTCCATGTGCGCAACAAACGAGAGCTGCAAGAACTGCATCAAAAACATTCAAAAACTCTCGATTGTGCAAGAACACAACACAATTTGACAATGGCCCTCATTCCTGCGTAGCTATTAACCTGTTTATTTGGGATCGGGGCTCACTGCATCACTTTTACTTTTGATTTTTTTTGACCTTGAACCAATTTGCGTAGCTTTCCATTCAAGCGCTGAATGCCACCATGGATCGATGGCCAGACAAGAACACTCTCGAACGGGACTCATCTTATCCCCATACCGCGAGCTACCAGAATTTCCAGCCTGAGGGTAGATGAAGCAGCCCTCATTAAGCACTGCGCCCTGCGATACTATCGAGGCTCTTTGATGTTGGGGATCCAAGTATTCTTGGGGACATGAAGGACCTATCCCTGCCTGTCACGCTTTACACAGTTGTTTGCTATCCAAAGCATGATTAACACATCATGGATGTGTGCCTCCAACATGTATGCAACCCCCCATCAATTGATGGAAAAGAACAGCTCGTAAAAGCAATGTGCAGAAACATTTGATTCTTAAAAGGCACGTAGCAAAAAAAAACTGACATGAGTTCATCAAACATGATGTTGTTTCTTTGCAAACCCACCGGCTACAGTGTCGTTTGATGATTGAATTGGGACCTAGCTGCAGCCATGGAGCCGTGGAGTGTCTCGCAGCTGCGTGAACTGGCTGCGCTGAGCGGCAGCGCGGCGATGGCATTTAGCCACCAGTCACCGGTGATCCTGGACAGTTGGTGTTTTTACATGGAATGTAAAGATATTTTTGGTGCTCCGTTGACATGTTTGTGGTCAGCCAACGGGTTGGGAGAACCCAAACTATGAATTGAATTGGGCCATTGCATGCCAATACCAAAGATGTTTTCTGATCCTGTCCCTGTGAATTAGTGGATTGAGGGATAACCCAGAACATTGATGATAGTTGGTGCAAGTCAGTGCAAATCAAGTGGGTTGAGGTTTGGATCAGGGCCTGACCACACAGCCACACATATTCTCCGGAACCCCCGTGGAACGATCGAGACATAATCTTGAATCTTAACCATAATGGGGAACCCCCGTCATTGATGGTGTTTATCAATAAAGGGCGTACTGTGGGTAAAGTGATTAAACATCATAATTACCGATGTTGGGAATCAGCCTAATAATTCTATATTTTACCAAAAATCCATCAGTCTTTCGTCATGTCCCAATTGAATCCAGTTGAGGTTTTCGTTCAGCGCAGAGTCTGGCTCTCTTGGATCTGACGAGAGACCAGAGCATGGCTGTGAAGATGGAAGATGTGGGGTCGTTGAATGCCAAAGGCACGGTACCCAAACCTGTGTAGCATGGGGATTTCAGGCACAAATAAAGTTAACCAAGAAAAAATAGGGTTTTGACTTGACCAACCACAACACGGCCATAAATTGGTGAATGGCTGGTTGATGGGTTCATGTCGTCCATGTAAATGGAGGAATAGTTGATCATATCAGATCGTTGTAGCGTATCTCAGGTTAGTGATGAAAGATAACAAAATTGCGAAACGTTATGGACATATTGTGGGTATGGGCACATGAATAAATTTGAAGGCTGTGTTGTGACCCGTTTCTAAACCTACCCCAAAGTTGGGCTCTCACAAGTTTGAAGCGCACATCATGTTCTAGATTTTTAGATCAACTCGCTGAAGCCTGGTGGAACTGTTCGCCAAACAACTCGCAATCAGACAACGTAGCATCATTCTGGATGAGCTACAAATAATTGGGGTCTATAACTACAAAATCCTGGTAGAAATAAGTGCCAAGAAAATCTCAGGCTTCAGGGTATCCATAGTCAGTTCCAGCACGGCTCTAGGGCAGTTGGCCTACGCCTTGGGTAAGCTGCTGGGTGGACCGGTGGTGGATGCCTGTGGTGGTGCCAAGTCTTTGGTAGCCATCCTGGTGCACCTTGGCAGCAAAAACGGTGCCATATCATGGGAAATCCCCCAACTGTGCATTTAAATGGGAACATCATCGATTATCTATAGATTATCTTTAGATTCATTAAAGATAATCTATAAATGGATCTATAGTCTATAGATATAAATCCAACAAGGTTATCTTTAGATTCATGTAGATTCTATAAATTAAATGGATATAAATGGATGCTCCATTGTCATGTTTGATTGCCAGAGTGTATCGACATTTGTTTATGATATTTTATGATAATGTTCGGAGTATGAGATTCATCAACCATCATGTAATAGCGGACTTCTACCGACTCAACTACTGTCCCAGTTCGACACCGCCTGGAAGTTTTTGAGACAAACCCAGATGGAGCATGTTTGAAAATGTTGGTTTCCCCCAATTCTACGGCCTTTTTATATCTTTTTATCATTTTTTCTGTTGGAATATGTTGGAATATGTTGGAATAATATAATCTGAAAAAAAATTGGGTACACCATTTTTTTCGGATATCTAACCAAACAAGATGTCAGCCCAGGAGAATTGATAAAGTGGTTGGTTGTTTTGATATTGCCTTTTTTTCTAGTATTTGTTCAATGGGCTTGAAACCACCAACCATTACACCCTTCAACGCCTCAGTTGGGTGGATGCAAATTTAGCGTTGGAAATGATGGGAAGGCAGAACTGGGCGGCCTGGACATATACATCGCATGGTTTGGTTGTTACTTTTATTGAAATTTGATAAATTTGAGTTGTTAACAGATATTTTGACCCCTCCATCATTTCTTCCCTTAGTGTCACCACTCGTAGTGGCATTTGGCGATATCGCCCAATTGATTGGTGCTATATTCTATGAATTTTGTATATAGTAATTGAAAGATGTGCTTCCACTTTTTCTTTCTTTTTTCTTGGATGATCTGTCAATACGTCTAATGTCCCTGTTGCTGGTCTTCCTCACCCCCCGTGGCCCAGAATGCTCAGCGGCAGCTTTGCAGCGATGGCGCGGTGTCAGGCCGCTGGGGCCAAACTGCTGGGGTCCTTTGCCACTGCAAGGTGCAGTCTGGACCTGAAGCTGGTGGGATCCCTCTGGTTATTTAGCATAGCTATGAAAAAATAGCCCAACTAGATTGAATTAGCTTGATGATTTATAATGATTTATGATGATTTAGGATGATTTATAACGATTTATAACGATTTATGATGATTTATGATGATTTATGATGATTTATAATGATTTATGATGATTTATGATGATTTATGATGATTTATGATGATTTGATATTATTTTTATATAATATGATTTAATATGATTTAAGATGATTTAAAATTATTTACCTATTGAAAAATGGTACTAATATAGACCCTGCAAGAGAGCGGGGCTTGGAAAGCTTAATCAAGAAAGGACAAGTTCTACTCGTGTGAACAGGTTGATTGCTTGATGTATTTTGGCTTTCTTTTGGTTGGTTGATGTTATAGCTTATCCCCGACTATATCGATTAAACTTTAGATAGTGTTGTGTTATGGTAAAATCACCAGCCAATCAAAGAATTTATGTTTTTTCTCTTGATTTGACCAACCCAATCGGCCATCGGTTACAACATGTTACAACCAACCCGTATAGTACAGCCAATCCTACTTTTGCCAGAAATCGAAAGTGGTACAGAGTCATATGTACAATGTTCTTTTCGACTTTGCTTGATTATCTGTGTGATATTCTGATATATTATATATATATAACATATTACAACTCACTCATTGGTTACATCCATGTATTATATATTTTTTGGTTATATATTACATATATTTACCACCGACTTTGAGGTTCGCCACCGCCGCGGTGTGGACGTCGTGCGCCGTGGCGCTGCGGAGCAGCTTCAGCCAGCACGGCTTGGCGCAGGTGGGAACTGGAGAAAGTGGAGGATTTTGTTTTTTGGCCATGGTTCAAAACTTGCAATACATTTGTAAGATGGGGATGTATCAAAATCTACCGTACCTGATTTTGGGGAGATGAACATCCATTTGCCAGCAATTTGGGGTTTCACCAGGGCGCCAAGGTTTTGACCCATCGCCAGATCATGTAATATCAACCACCTTGATTGAAGCTCTATGGAATGGAAGAAGCCATGTCCCGTATGACAGAAGGGTAAGGGTACCTACCCCATCAATCAAAGGGGTTGTAATATCACTTTTTGGGATGAACATCTACCAGCTATCGGACATAGACCGTGGAAATGGGCCATTTTTGGAGACCGATCTATAGGCTTCCAGCCAGGTCTGTTTCGCAGGGTCGGTCTAAGGTGAAAGGAGGTAGTTCCCCCCTCCAGGACTGGCTCAACATTGATGGCGAATCTATGGAACTGGAACAGGGTGAATCTCTTAGAACAATCGCATAGGGAGTGGATTCTATAATGGGAATAAAATTAAACAAAGTTTCAACAAAAATCAACTGAATCATGGGAGTGAAATAATGTAATGTGATGTCTAATTTTTAATGTGTTCATTTGGGCAAAAAATGTTGATAGTTACTTTAAGTTAAAATTAATTTACCCTAAAGAAAGAAGGATAGAACGTGGACCCAGCAAAATCGAACATGGTCATTTCGAGAACGGAACTTGTTTTTTGGAGCCCAGACTCACATTATGACAATTTCAGTTCCATGATTCCATGATAGTTTTCATGAGCAGATGGCCAGGATGCCAGGGTTTACATCGATTGACCCTTAAGATTTGACTCTGTCCAACAACAGGGTACCCCCACACCCAGCAAATGGTTTCATGTGGAGGAAGCCAATGAGTTGGGTATATCATATATCCTTGTTTTCTTCAGGTTTGGACATACCGAATTTCAACCCCCACTCATAAACTACCAAAGTGGTCTATTGAAGTCAAGCAAGCGATTCTGGATTGTGAAGAAAGGCTGCAGCACACGGCGCACATGAAGCAACCAAATCAGCCTAACCAAACTGATCATCCTTGCCCTAGCATGATACCCACACCTCCTAATCGCTGTTATCACGTCATATAACTTCCACACCCCCAAAACGGCTTTGAGCTATGGCGACCAGCCGTCCCAGAGCAGCTGATCCCATCCGCCAGGCGCTAAGTTTGGGACAGGTGGCCATGCGTCTTGGAGCTTCCTTTGGCTCCATGCTGGGTGGACTTTTGCTGCTGGGCTGCAGCGTTTGTTGGGAGAAGGGGATCACACCTGGTTGATCCCCCGTTCCATCCCATGGTTGCGTCATATGGATGTTTCCTAAAATGGTGGTACCCCAAAACCCAGAGGTTTCAATATGTTTCAATACTCAACTGGTCTACTTTTGGATGGTTTGGGGGTATCCATATGGTGCCATTTTCTTGGATCATCCTGCAGGTTGAGCCGGCTTGGCAGCTGGCGGCGATTGCTGATGGCCTATGCTCCTGGACTGAGATTTTTGGATGGGCTGATGGATGCTGGGTGGTTTCAGCAACAAAAAATTGAACAGATCAGTAGACCATGGGGATGAACGGACCCTGCCATAGCTGAATGGAGGCTTTGCTGATTGATGTGTGTGAAAATGTTCCTGGTTGTTTACAGAGAGCTAGCTTCTCAGACATGAAGAATTCCAGGAAGATTCAGCAACCTGTCTCTCGATTGGAAGCTCAACAGCCCCAGACGCATCACCTCCCAATGGACACGAATCCAATCAACTCTTTAGCCACCCCTGTGGATAGCTAGATATCCATGAAAATATCTGGGACCAAGCCCATCATTGTGGTTTCTGGATGTTTCTTGAGGGTTTTCACCCAGAATCACAACAAACCGCTCACCAGGCTGGTTTGGGCACTGCCACCGGATTGCTTCTCTTCCTTCGTCTCAGCATGTGCCTTGGGTCGTGGCAGGTGGCAGGTGTGATGTTCAGCTGTGGAATCACTGGGTTCAGTTGAGGGAATCCTGACCGACCGGAAAACATGGTTCATCAATGTTCATCATTTTTTTGCCGGCAATTGGGTTTCCCTGTGATGTTTTTGTAAAATCACCTCACATAAAACACACTGTAATATAGCATGTACTTGGTAGCTGTTGCGGCTCAGGTAAAAAGAGTTTGAGCTGCAGATGCTTAACGGATTTTAGGTTTATCAGTCTATTTGGGTGTAATAGGAATTACCCCAGCTGAAACCTGAAAATACAGGTTATCAGCCGTAGTCTCTAAAGCCATGGACAAGTCGAATGATGCAATTGGTGGTGGTGCCCTTGTCCCCTCGACTGGAACTGTATCTGCATCAACTGGTTCTCAGCAAAGCTTGCCGGCTGGGACAAACCCCACGCCCATGTCAGTGGATGAAGGTTTCTTCACACAGCCAGTGCAAGCCTATTTCCAGTTCGTGCAAAACAATCTTACCTACATCAACGAAGGTAACATTGACGCTTTCAGGCAAGAGGCAGAGGAGAGGCACACACATCTCATGGAACAAAAGGTCCAGCAACTGTACCAAGAGTTTGAGGGAATTTGCCTTAGCGAAATCGCCCATCAACGTGCAGAAGCTGACCGTAGACATGAGCACCTAGTGTCAGAGTATTCAATGTCCCAAACGGCAACTGAGCATGAGGTAGCAAAACTGAGACAGGAACTTAGCGATGCAAATGCAAAGCTAAAGAATGCTGCAAACGCAGTTGCACTGGAAGCTGAACAAAGAGCCAACCAAAAGGTAGCCCATGTTACAGCCCAGTACGAACAAAGGTTTTCTGAACTCAGAGGTAGCCTCGAGGCAGACTGTAAACGAATCGTGGACGAAACAGTGGAGTATGCAAAGAATGGCATGGAAGGTTTCAAGAAGGAGGAACAAGCTGTAATCCAGGAGATTAGAGAGGAATGCAGTAGGCAGGAAAACCAAGCTGCTGAACTCAACTTCCAATTGCAGGGACAAGTGGAGGATTTGATGGAGAAGCTCAACAAGTACAGCGCCCCCGAAATCAATGTCGACAGAGCCGTCGAAGTTGATGATACACAAGGCGGGAACAATGTTGATTTGTACATGACCCCAAAATCAGCGGTCGGTACCAAGGCTGGAGCAGAACCCATGCCAAACACTGGTATGAGTAGCTTAGCCATGGACGCAAAGGAAAGGTTGAGCAACTTGTTCTCAACTACCCCTGCCGGATCAGCAGCCCCTCCAAAACTGCCACCATTGCCAGTTCAAAGACAAAATGATGATGATGCAAACCAAGAACATAGTGTGCCCAGTCCTACAGTAATAGCAAGCGACCCTGGCAAGAAAGCAGCTGAAGCAGGCTTAGGTCTTTCAGGTCAACAATTGCTAGATCTCATCACCAGACTGACTTCAAAGGATTCAGATGGTGAAAAGCCCCGAACAAAGGAGGCAGAGACTATCAAACTGAACGACATGCCTGCCCCAGAAGCATATCGTCACTGGCGTAATCATGTCAGGGACGAAGTCAAGTCGTGCTCTGACAAACCCGATGAGGCTTGGCTTTGGCTCAATGAAGTCTTTGACAACAAAACCCCTAGGGAAAAGTTGGAGGAAAAGCTGCAGGAACCTGGGAAATTTATCACACTTGACACCAAATTGTCGGCAGCGTTAACTCGCTCGGCCAAAGGTGATTTAGCAACGAAGATCCATAACTTCAAAGATGAGAAGTCAAAGCAAGGGATCCAAGTCAGAGGTAGGAGAGTCCTTTTGATGTTTGAAGATTACTTCAGGACGTCTGAGGAAGCTGGCAGTCTCTACCGCGTCGAGGACCTACTTGGAGTCGTTCGCACTGGAGAATCTGTGGAGGACCTTAGAAGGTTTTTGAACCGATGGGACGCCACAATTGCCGGCATGGAAACCCCGCCAGATGATTTGGTTCTCAGAGACATCTTACTCAGACAAATCCGGAAATGTCAATTGATGAAGTATGACATTGAAGCATTTGACAGAGCTCCTGAAAAGTCAGAACAAAAGTCTTATGCATTCTTGTTGAGAAACATTCGTGATCTTTTGGATAGAGCAAGACTCCGTTCAAACAGAAACAGAATCGTTGAAAAGAATAAGCAGACCGAAAAGCCTCAGCCCGCTGCACCCGCTCAGGGGGGCAAAGATCGCGGCAAAGGAAAGGGTGATCGAGGTCGATCCCGTGGTCGTAGCCAGAGTGGAAAAGGGGATAAGATATGTTACAAATTCAGGGATGGCAAGTGCGAAAAGGGTAAAGACTGTCCCTACAAGCATGTCAAAGATTCCTCAAGATCTGGCACCCCCAAAAGGAAGGGTAAGGGCAAAGGTGGTAGCAGAAGTGGTTCCCCCAACAGAAAGTCGAAGGAAGAGATGGCCAAGATCCCATGCACTTACTTTCAACAGGGCAAATGTCGTCGTGGTGACAAGTGTTTTTACAAACATGAAGTTGCAGCTGCACCCACAAAGGATCCAAAACGCACCAATAGCCCTGCACCAAAGAAGAAGGCCAGTGCAAAAGCTGCGCCATGCATTACTCAAAGGTATGCATGCATAGCAAAGGGAAAAGGGTTGCCGAAAGCTACAAAGGCCATGAAAGAACAATGCCATAGAGCTATTGTGTTTTCATCAAAAGTGGAATACATCAAAGTCCCAGCAACAGGTGAACAGAGGAAGGTAGTGCACAAACCCCGAATCTATGAGAAGACGTTCCCTGATTCAGAGTCAGTGCCAAAACCCGACAAACTCGTGGCTCACCGTGCTCAGGTTTCGGCCCGACAGTTGCAGGAACTTGTGAAGCTCTTCGGCAGTGAGACGCAGCCCAAGTGCCGATTCCGATGCAATGACCCAGAAGGGGGAGTATCATGCAATCACTGTAGAGCAATGATCGGTCCCAAGAACAAAGTCAGTAACACTCATTTGCCCACTGTTGCTACACCGGCATCAAAAGATGGATGTGTTTGGTTGGTTGACACGGGCAGTGAACAGGATTTGATTAGTGAGGGTATGCTGAAGACTGCAAAGGCGACAAACCGCCGTGTCAGTGATACCCCAATCAGCCTTGCTACAGCGAACGGTTCGACACGAGCGGATGAGGTGGCCGACGTAAAAGTCGATGCCCTACATCAGCCATTCTCACCATACATCCTCGAAGAAACTCCTGCTGTTCTTTCGGTTGGTGTCAGGTGTATGGAACAAGGTTACAGTTTTGTGTGGCCAGCTGATGGTAGGCCTTACTTCATTCGTCCGGACATGGGAGTCATTGAGCTTAACGTAGACGGCCGTGTGCCGGTCATTGATAGCTCTTGTCGTGTTTTGAACAGTGGACAGTTCAAGAAAGATTGTGATCTGTTACGTCTCTTTGCAATGGTTGCTGCAAAAGCAGAAGGTGCCGAGGAAGAAGGCGTGGATGAGGGAGTAGCTCATGATAGTGAAACCGAGTACGTCAGGTCTAGAAAGGCATCTGATCTTGAGCAAGAGGCATGCAGCAAATCTCACCAGTTTTGCCATTACCCCAAGAATCCATTTTGCAAAATCTGTCAGAAGGCGCGCATGATGGCGCCACCCGCAAAGAAGAAAGGGGGACAGAAAAGATTGGAAACCAAAAGCTTTGGGGATCACATTGTTGCCGACCACACTGTAATCAAATCCAATGTGGAAGAAGGCTTCAAAGGTGAAACAGTGGCATTGGTGATGAAGGACATTCACACTCAGTTCAGACACGTCTATCCAAGTCAGACAAAATCGAGTGAGTCATGTGTTAATGCTTTCAACCACTTCTTATCTCACAAGGATGAAGTTGGGGCAGTTTACACTGACAATTCACGAGAGCTTATTGCTACAATTTCAGAGTTGGGGTACAGACATCAAACATCAACAGAGTACGTGGATAGCTCAAAGTCGTTTGTGGAGAGGGAGATCAGGCACATGCTTGAAGGCACACGCACAAACCTCGTGCAGTCAGGTCTTCCATTGCAGTATTGGCCAATGGCTATGCAGCATTTCTCCATGGCAGTGAATGCCACGCCACAGCTCAACGGTGATGATGCCCCATGGAAACTCAGATTCGAAGAAGATTTTCCAGGTCAGTTGATTCCTTTCGGTGCAAAGATACTGTTTTGGAACAATCCAAAAAGGGTTGACAACACATCTGGAAAGACATCACCAACAGCAAATGATGGAATCTTTTTGGGATACCATATTCAACCTGGTTTTGCATGGAAAGGTGAGTATCTTGTTGCCAAGTTAGAAGCATTGGATTACCATGCAGAAACGGGCAGCATCACAGTGCAGCGAGCACGACGTGTTGAGCTCATCGCGGGAGGTTTCATCTTCCCACTCCGTGCATTGAAAGAGGCCAAAGAGCCCAAGCCGGACCGCCTTGCTGACAATGTCATTGCTGATCCTCGTCCGATTCCGTTTCAATCTGAATTGCAAACAGAGGAACATGCAGAAGTAAGTGAAGAAGCAATTGACAAGTCAACGGAGGCAGTGCTTGACGCACTTGCCAGTGATGAAAGGCCGGCTGAGGAACCAGTTTTTCCTGATATCAAATACACTCCAACTGGAACACCAATCCCGGATGGTTATCATTGGGACGGCACACGCCTTGTGAAAACGTACAAAGGGTCAAAACGCCCTGAGTCGATCCCATCGGATTTTTGGAAAATGCTTAGTCCGAAGGATAGGCAAAAGCTCGTTGAGGAGGAGGCTGAAAAGATGGCTGTTGGCAGCGGCGGTGCTGCATCAAGCTCAGCATCAAAGGGTCCGAAGAAGAAGAAAGGTGCGGTTGCAACTGCAAGAAAGCTTCGGGTAAACCCTAGCCCCTCAGGTGAGCCTAGTGTGTCAACGTGGGAGGTCATTCCAAAGGATAGACCGAAATTTTGTGTCCCTGCAATGCCGAAAGCGGTTCCAGCAAAAGCTGAACTGC